TTTTATACTACTGTGTGTTTCACGCAGTTGTATTTTTATACACCTGTGTGTTTCACGCAGTTGCATTTTTATACACCTGTGTGTTTCACGCAGTGGTGTTCAGATACTCCTGTGTATTTCACACTCCTGTGTGTATAAACACACAGGTGTATAAAACGTCAACTGCGTGAAACACACAGAAGTATAAAAATACAACTGCGTGAAACACACAGAAGTATAAAAATACAACTGCGTGAAACACACAGAAGTATAAAAATACAACTGCGTGAAACACACAGAAGTATAAAAATACAACTGCGTGAAACACACAGAAGTATAAAAATACAACTGCGTGAAACACACAAACTTCACGCATGCGTGGAGTGTATGGAGTATACGGGAGTGATTCACGCAATGGTGCGAATAGTCACGGCCTTAAAAAATTATAATTGATAATTTAAACCTGAAAGCTCATTCAATCGTTTTACTTCCATCAATTCTATAATATTTCCAGCCGAGAAATTGGAGATCTGGACAACCGAGGAAGACAATGCTTCCATCAACACGTCATTCACCTACCTCGGCTACATAACTCTATCCAACAATGAGTCAACCCTGTACAAAAGCAGAGAATTGAAGAGTGTCGCGCTCCCGGAGACAGAGGCACTCTCGATAAAGCTGAGGCTCCACAAGCCGCACCAGAACTCGCACAATGTTCAGGAGCAAGTGGGTCTGATAGCTGTGAACATCATAGGCGAGCCCTATGGACACGAGGTCTGTGGACAGGGCGATGCGCCCTACAATCCTCATTACACGTCCCCTTACGATGATCTGGCTTTCGAGATGTACGTCGACAGGGAAGTTGCGAAGATCATTAGGCAGATGGAAGCTAAGAAACTTCAAGCAGCTGAAGGTGATGAATAATATTCTATCAATAATTATTTGTATTCAGAGAAAGATGTCTGGACATTTTCCATTATTTTACTCATTCATTTTTATTCCGATGAATAATTTCACAATTAATATGAATTAACCCTTCATATTAATACGCAGAAATATTTTTCTCATCGTAGAAAACATCAAAAACTCTTCCTAATGTAGACAAATGGGCAATAAAATAGAAACGTTAACTTATGTATTAATACACGGTGATGAATAATATTCTATCAATAATTATTTGTATTCAGAGAATGGTATCTGCACAGTTTCCATTATTTTACTCATTCATTTTTATTCCGATGAATAATGTCACAATTAATATGAATTAACCCTTCATATTAATACGCAGAAATATTTTTCTCATCATGGAGAACATCAAAAACTGTTCCTAATGTAGACAAATGGGCAATAAAATAGAAACATTAATTTATGTTTTAATACACGACTGGAAATACTCAAAAAAAATTGTCCATTTGTTTCATTTGTCGTCATTTTTATATTAATTCCTCCTATTCTCTCTCACAGAAGAAAGATTTGAATATGCGTCGAAATTAAAAGTTGCCATGGAGATTCTCCGCAAAGCTGGGGAGCGTCTAGGTAAATACGAGCTTGAGAAGAAATACGCTATAGCATTGGAAGACTATGACAAAGCGAAAGCCAAGAAGGCCCAGGCGCAGCAGTACAGACAGCAGGTGTGTTTTGATCCCAATATTCAATAATATAATCAAATAGATTAACGATTTAAAAATAGTGTGGAAAAAACTTGGAAAATTCATGTCGAGAGATTTCTACAGAGAACTTCTCAACAGAAAAAGTTGTATACAAAGATGAAATTCTACTGATTTTACCTGTAGAATAGTTTCTATTTAGAACCTAGCATTCTGTCTTAAAAAAAGACTTGGAAAATTCTTGATGAAGAATTTTTATAAAATTCCAATAGAACTTCAATCCAAATTAGGTTTTATCAACCATTATTAACATATTCCTCACAATAATAACAATTTTGCCTCGAATGCTGATATTGAGTCCATATTATCGACAATTCCACCCCATCCAACAGGTATACCAAAGCTTAGAAGTAGAAGACCTGCTGGAGTTGAATGGTCCACTGGAGAAAAACAACATTTCGACAGTGGAGGGTAAAGAGGCGACAGCAGGTGACGGCTGTGCGTCGTCAGTGTCAGTCCCCGAGGACATTCTGTCCCCTCCAAGGCTGATGGTTCCCCCAGGAAGAGAGGGAGCCGTCTCTCCAACGGCCCCAGTCCACCAGCCCCCAGTCTCGCCCCTCCACCAGAAGCCTCAGACTCCTGAGATCACTGAGAGCCCTCCAAACGGTGTCATTGAACGCCAGAACAACCGCAACACAGGATCCCTGAGGAGGAAAACCAAATCCGCTGGTCCTTCCCTCAGATCCAGCTACGAGGCTTACGAGGAGCGGACAATTCCCGCCCTCAGGCACTCCCACACCAATGAATTCACGAGGGAGTGCCACATGGACAGCACTGACACCAAAGTCAACTCGAAGCTCAATGACAGGGAGAAGAAGCAGGCTGCACTGCCCATTGCTGTCTTCGGGATGGAGATGGTGGAGAAGTTCTACTCGAAACAGTTCACTGACAAGGAGGAGGGGCTCATGCAGCTGAAGGAGGAACTCAGAAAGTTTAATGTACAGGTCTCCAAGCACACACCTAATAAAACAGCCAGGGCTGCTATTCTGCTGCTGCACAGGGCTCTCAGGGACAAGGTCTTCAGTGTTTACAGTCTCGCTGCTCAATTGATTAGGATTTTCTTCTCGGGATTCGCTACTGACAGGTAACTATAAACTTAATATTTATTATTGTTGTACAATATTTATTATTTTTGTTATTTAGGATTACTAATGTGCTGATTGAGGGTAGAAAAATCAAGAACTGTCAAAGTCCACTGAATTTCTTTCAATAGATTCAATAGATTAAAATTCAAGATTATAGTTGGCTGAATTTTTTTCTTTATGTTAATTTTAACAAAAATTTGCAGTTTTCACAGTTTTTTTCATCAAACAATTTTCAATTACGAAATTCCTTGAAATTTCCGTGAAACTGTCACTTGATGTTAAAATATCCAAAAAATGTAGAAAAATTTCAGCCACAATTCTTTACAGTGTAAAATTCGTCCACATTATAATTTTTGTTGTGTATGAATTTATAGTATAATTAATAGTGGAATTTTAAGATTCGTTAATTAATAGTTTATTTCCTTTTGAAATGTCAAGAGAACCCTCTTGTAGCGAACGAAAATGGGAATGAAAAAGATCGCTTGATGTGCTGTGCAATTACGTTCTACCACTTCACGAATGATTTCATTTTTATTCAATTTCCAAGGGTTTCTTCAGCAGAAATAGCCAGAAGTGTCGATCGCTTGCTGCCTGAACTCCTGACAAAATCAGGAGACACGACACCGAGAATTCACAACATGGCTGTTCATACGATCCTGAGTATGGCCGATTGCAAGTGCGTCAGAGAGCTGCATATCATTCCCGTTCATCTGAGTCGACCTGTGAGCAGCAGCACTCATCAGAGGTTGGCTCTCAGTCGGTTGGAGATGGTTGAACAGTTGATTCTCAATCATGGGATCTCGACTGATAAGCAGAGGTGATAAAATATTTATTGATTATTTCCAGATAGTGAAGCTTTATTTGAATTAATTAATCATCAACAATTGGCATTTTTGAGGAATCCAAGCCATCCATCTCTGGGATGGTCTCTGCAAATCTATGAAATTATTTTTTTGTCAGGAAGAAATTCATTTTATTAACATTTTTGAATACAATTCAGTTGTGAAATATCCTTAAATGAGAAAATTTTTATGAAATGAATTCCCATGTCCAATGTTTAATTTATTTATTGAAGGTTCATTACATGTATTAATTTATTATGATTTATTAACTTTTTACGAAACATCTATAATCGGTAATATTGCTTGGTAAAATTATAGGATTTCGATAAATCAAATTTCATTTAAAAGTTTATTAAAATACCTTGAAAATGAGGAAAAAATGAGGAAATTTACTTTTTCTTATTTTGAATTTATGAATATTTTTCGAAGAATGATCTCCAATTGAAATTCATTCATTTGTCACTGCATAATTCAATTTAGTTGTTGTTGATGCAGAATTGGTAGAATTCCTCAAAAATGATGTTTCTATTACGATAGAATGTCCATTTCTTCTGATAAGACATTGCGATTGTTGCAGTGGTCTCACCTGTCGCACATTATCTGAACTCGGTTCTTCTGGACTTCATCATCCCGCTGAAGCTGTTAGAAAAGTCTCTGAACGTATTCTGGTGTTGGTTTACAAAGTCAATCCCAGATTAGTTCGGAAACAGCTGCCACCTGACGATGACATCACGAGGAGGAATCTGTTGTATCGTCAATTATTCCATGAGTTTGATTTAATTGATCTCCAGGTAATCTTTAATACGTACAACAATCGGGCCTTTGGAGGGAATTTCTTTCTTATTTTTCTTCTTAATATTTCGTTTATTTCGATGAATAAAAAGAAATCAAAACGCTATTGCAAATTGTTAAAAATTGACTGACATTTTTCCAATTGAAAACATTAATTTTTCATTTATCCAAATAAAAAATAGAAATTTCTCATATTTTACATTCAATCTTCATTATCGAAGATGAAAAAAGTATGCGCAAAATTCCAATTAAGATATTTTTAATCTTCTAGAAGTGGTTTAGTATTCCTGACGTGTAAAAATAGAATAATATTTTGTTCAGCATTTTTTTTTCATTTATAAAATTGAGAAAATGTTATGCAAAGGTTTAAAGCTAGTTAATATCAATTCTCCAGAGGAAAAAAGAATTGGAGTCTGTGCCAAAGACGACAGCAACCCCAACTCGATCTAAATCCATCGACACGAGTGGCTCGAATGCGTCAAAATCACCGAAGAACAGTCCAGGGATCAGCACAGAGAACTCCACGAGTGTCACATCACCCTCCGACAGCAGTGGTGATCACAAGGGTGACAAATTGTGTATTTTTTGTTTATCCAAGGGACAGGCTTACTCGGAGGAGGGCTTGAATATCCACTATTGGAGGAGCTGTCCCATGTTGACTAGGTGCGAATCATGCAAACAAGTTGTTGAAGTTTCTTATCTGAATGCACACTTATTGAGTGAGTATCTCATTTATTCAATTAACATTCCAGGGGATTGATTGAATTCTCGTCGAGTACATTGATTTATCTTTCAGGTGAATGTGATAGGAGAAATAATTACGTTAAATGCGATACGTGTAAACTAGCGGTTCTGGAGAAATGCTTCGAGGAACATTCCAAAAATGATAAATGCACAAGTAATTTTTATTTTATTTAATTCAGTAGTTGAGTGATGGATAAAATTTAACTGTTGCATTTAGCTTCATTTCAATGCATTCATTTAATGCATTAAAAAACATAAAAAATAATGAGTCAAATAGTAATGCTATAGAATTTCCTGAAAATTCCAATTGAATGTGCAAAATTTTGTTAAATTTTTTTAAACGTGAATTCAAGGGGAACATTACAAGAACTATTTTCAGGGAATTCGCTCAGCTATAAAAAAGTTTATCTGACAATTCAGCCAAAACTGAAGTCTCATTGTTCTCTTAATTTTATTCTCTAATTTTTACAGAACCAATTGAAGGATATGATCGCTGCCCCCTCTGCCACACTCTAGTCAATCAAAACAAGTGGAGAGAGCACCTGATGGGGGAGAATCCATGCACGAATAATCCTCGGAATAAACCAACAAAATCATGTAAGAAAAAAATCCTTTTATTACAACATCAATGATTTTATGCTCCATGAATTTCAGGTACAAAATCTCCGTCTAAGACTCAAAATCTCAGTGGAAAACTGACGTCACCAACTGGAAGAGATTACTAACATGATAATACCCCCCGATTTTTAGATGATTTTTATTTAACCAATTTTTTTCGTCGTGTTTATTTGATAGTTTATGTACTTGTTACCAAGTGTAATGTTTTTACATATTTATACGAGATAGTGAAACCCGTCCTTTAGTTATAGATAATCATGGAGAATTACAGGATGTATCACGTGAAATTGAAGTGAAATTCAACGAGAAACTGCGAATGCAAAGTAGAATGTAAATTACATTTTATGGTAGTTAGGCAGTAAATTGAAGGGATATTTAAACATAGACACCGTATTTTATCGACAAAATAACGCGTGGAGTCTCTTAATTTATTTCATAGATTCTGTGTTTTGCATTAAAATAGGGTAAAAAATTCCGGAAATAATTTTTACTACTTTAGTAATCAAGAATTCAAGAACTGAATTGATCTCAATGATGATTGACAATGAACATTAATTTTTTCCATCAATAGGTTTGCAACAAGTCATTTCGTCAATAAAATTCTGTGTCAATATTGAATTATGCCAAATTAAAATGCAGTTAATAACGCAATAAAAACTGAATCTCCTCATCAGGAGAATTGAACGATGGCAAGAAACAAATTGATATACCTCTGTATCCGACCATAAATCGATTAAACTCATCTGCACTATCATTAAGCTTCATAGGGTAATTGAACGAGAGGAAATAAATAAAATGGAAATTCAACTGTAGTTTCCTATTATCATAAAAAATACAAAATTGAACAATTCATGATTGGTGAGTTTGTTTCCCTCTAATAGGATTTCATCTATGAAACGATTGGAATTCACGTCGTCTCAGCAATCACATCCTCCGCAGTGTCGTCAGTTATTTTTTCGTCTGTCAAATTTTCTTCGTTGGATGGAAAAATCGAAGTGTCATCCTCACCTTCAGTCGTTTTATTCGCGTTTCGATTTTCTTCGAATTTGTTCTTTTCTGAAATTCACAAAAGGGAAATTAAAATGAGTGCAATGATTCGAGGGTGCATAATTGATAATTTTTTTTACAATTGGAAATGAAAATAAAAGGAAGAATATTCTACACAGATTTTCATTTAACGTCAGACAAAACGAATAACAGAAATTCATATACATAGATTAGAAATTCAAGTGCAAATTTGGAATAAAAATTCTTGAAATAGTCAATAACAACCGAATTTTAAAGTCAACTTAAAATTCAAGTCCAAGAATTTTAAGATTAAAATTACAAAAACCTTTCCATTTTCTAAAATAAAAAAACGACATGGTTTTGAATTTAAAACAGATTCAAAAACTTGCAAGTTGTTTAATCTCAGATTTAATCAAAAGTTAACAAAAGTAAAAGTTTGCCAAATATTGTTTATAATTCTGCAATTTTCCAATGTTTCTTCACGAAAATTATCATTTTCCATAAAAAAATGTTATGTAAAATCTCAAAAGTAAAAAAAGTATTCTCACCGAACTTTGAAAAATCAGCCCCCAGCAAACGTAAATAATGAACAGCATCATGAAGAGGTACGTAAGCCCTCAGGGACATTGTCCCCCTCCAGCCGACCATGACGAGCTTCAGAGGATCAAGATTCTCTGCATCGCTCTCCTCATAAATAAGAATGCAGCTGCCCGAGTCTATATTAACAGTTCCCTTCTGAATCTCCTCACTCAGCTTCGCTATCTCCGGTGGCGTCTGAGGATTGTCATTCTGCAGGAGCTCCACTAAATCCTCCCTCCCAATCTTCACTTTACGATTCTCACCGATGTAGGAGAGAATACTGGGCATTCCCTCCTGCGCCAATCTAAACGCACATTTCATATTCTTATTGTCACACCTAACGAAAGTCTTCACTCCAGTGTTGATCATCTTAACATTGTTTTCATTCAGGAGAACAATGTCTCGAATTGCTGGCGATGTGAAGTATATATTCTTCTTTTTTCCCTCTTGACATCTCACCAGGAGACAGCGAGGGTCTAAATCATCAGAGATACTATAGAATTCCCTGAAAATGATGAAAAAAAAAATTGTAAAATCAGTCAACGACAGATGGAGAAAAGAAGTTGAGGAAAAATTACTGAAAAAGTAATGCGATCACAGATCAAAATTTCGCTCTAGGTCTTTTTAAAAAAATTCGGGTAATTTGTCCTATAGAGAAGAAAAAATGAAGCCAGTGAACGTAAATAATCACTCAATGTCTGGAAACATTTCTGTTGCCAGAACAAAATATTTCACAGGTGCACGAAATTTTATTCTCCAAGGAATCGTCAATTTTGCTCTCACTTTTATCATTTTACTGAACGAATCATATTCTCTACTTGAAGTATTATTTTTTAAACTATATTTTGCTTCCCAATGATCTCTGGGGCTGTGAAATTGACCAAAATTTACCAGATAATTTATTCTCAACACTTCTCTTCGTGTATTCCCTCAGATTCCCCTAGGGATTTCCGGAAAAAATTCTAAATGACTTAATTTAGTGCATTCTCGCAAGTTATTGAGTTTTTCTATTGTCATATGTTGTTGAAAGTAACAATAACTGTTTGAATCAGTTAAGACATTATTTATTAATTAATTGTTTAAATCAAATAAGAAATGATTTCATGAAATTTCCTGTTTATGAAATTTCCATTTTTTTTAATTTTATAAAAAATTCACTGTATTCGGAATTTATCAATCTACCGTGGATTAGTTTTCAGGAAATATTATAAATTTTTTCAAGGGATATACCTAAAGGATATCCAAGTATCTATTAGTTTGGTACAGACTATACTATAGATTCAACCATTTTCAATCATGAAAGTTGTCAATTAAATTGCGTGAGAAAATTTCCCCACAGAATTATCATTTTTTAAAACATTCGTTGTTTATCAATAAACAATTCAAATTGTTCGAACTTTCGGAAACCCTATTTTTTATATTAAGGTCAAGATTAAAATTCTAAATATGACTAAATTTGTTACGAGTCCGAACAAACGATTTTTTCAATGGAAAATTGATTGTTTATAAATTATCAATAAAAAAAGCTCGTGATGTTCAAAAATTTAAATTATGAATCATTTCACGAGTCTTCCTCCAAAAGTATTTTCTAATTTCTTTCACATTTTCAGAGATTCAAATTCAGACCTGCAACCTTTAAATAACAAACTCATTGTAAAATGTCCGTAAACTTGAGGTCAAATGAGGTTCAAAAGAAAGCTCTGACGTTCGGCTAAAAAGTACAAGAGCATTTCACCGGAGAAAAAACAGCCAAAGAACCTGGATATCCTTAAATGATATACAAAAAAAATGTCTCCATACTTGATAGCAGGCCAAACCTCCTCCTCATCCTTAAAGAACACGAAAGGGTCCTCCCGATACCCAAACATCCTCTTCTTCTTCCTCTCGGGTCCAGCCTTGTCCTGCTCCCCACTCCTCTTGACGCCGCCCTCCCCGCCGTCCTGGGGGCTCCCCTCCCGCTCTCTCTCCCACGGGAGAGCCTTCACCTTCTCCAGAACGGCGACGAAGAACCCCCCAGTGTCCTGATGATGCGGCAGTATCCTCATGCACTTCTCAAGATGAAACCTTCCAGCCTCCTCGGGCTTCGGCGGAAACATCTTGGGCCTCACCAGCGTCTGCCACTGCTCAGGCACCTCCTCAAACGTCTCATAAAACTTCATATCCTTGGAGCAAGCAACCCAGTGACTGACGCCAGGATTGCAGACCAAACCAGGAACGAACTCCCTCCCATCGACGAGCCTCACCGAGTCCCCAGTTTCGCAGAGCAATCGATGGAGCACAGCCTCATTCTCCAGAGGATTCAACGAACAAGTGGAGTACACCATTCTCCCCCCAACCGCCAGCATCTCCAGCCCCCTCTTGGCAATTCTGAACTGAATCCCATGGAGATTGTGCCCATTCGCTGGATTCCACTTGCACCAGATGTCCGGATTTTTCCTCATAGTGCCGTCCCCAGTGCAGGGCACATCAGCAAGAATCCTGTCGAACTTGAGAATCCCCTCAGACCCATCTGGACTGGTCATCCTGAAGTTTGGCATCACCGAGGAGTCGTGATTAGTGATCAGTATGTTGGGGCTGTTGAGTCGTTTCGCCTGGTGCACCAGCATGTAGCACCTGTTGTTGTCCACGTCATTAGCTATGACGAAGCCCTTGGGGTGGGGATTGCCCTCGTCAGCGTGAATCATCTCGATGAGTTGAGCTGTCTTGGAGCCAGGTGCTGCACACATGTCCAGAACCTTGTGGTCAGGCTTCACATCGAGCACCAGAGGGGGAATCATACTGACAACCTCTTGTCTGCTGATGCTCCCACTGCTCGTCTCGGCTATCAGGAAATTGTGGAGGCGAAAATAAGCCTCTGATCGGCGAATGTCCTTGCGGGTGAGCTGCAACTGCCAGGCCAGACCCTCTGGGTAGAAGGGTAAACGGTGGGGCTTCACCTTTGGCTCGTCGTCTGGGGTGCTGTCGAGCTTTGCATTCAGGATTTCGGTGAAGAAGTCACCCTGGATTATCTTTGAGAGGGCCTTTGTCTCCGCTCGGGAGCCGGCGGTTATGCGAAAGGCCACGGGCAGGTTCTCTTTCATTTTTGAGAGGAACTCGGGCCACTGGTCTTCGGGGACTATTCTCTGGGCTTTGTAGAACGTCTCGAAGTCTTTGTTGTCGCGGACCATGTCCTCGTAGTGACGCTGGGGTCGTTTGTCCCACTCATCTTTGTTCTGGGTGGGATAAAAAAGGTTGGTTGATTGAATGATTGAAGTTTATTGCTGTACATTATGTTGTGCAAAATTATGGTGGCAGAGCCACGGAGCACATATACTGAAAAAGTATAAAAACAGCAAACAGAAACAATCTCTTAGAGTAATCAGTTAAAGGCAGAGATAGAATAATAAAAGAGCGAGGCTTCAGCGGATCCCAACTAAAACAGGGGAAGGAGAGATGAGAGAAACAAAGAGCATGAGAATAAAAAGAGAGAAAGGAGAAAGGGGCCGGGGAGAGCAAAATGAGAGAAGGTGGTAGGTCATTTTGAAAGTTTACCATAGATTAATCGCAGTTCCTTACTTTTTTATTTAAATTTTTAAATCATTTTTAATCCTCAATTACAGTTAAACAATTCATTCGAAATATCTGAATTTGATTTTTCAGATGATCAAATAGTCATCATTCTTGCGAAGTTGATTACTGATTTATGGAGTATTTCAAAAATGAAGAAAATTGATTTGTGATTAATTTAGTATTTGGAAGATTGAAAATTTTGATTGATAATTAATATAATAAAAATTATAATAAAATTTGAAAAATTGTACGATATAATCGTGTGATTTTATACGTGATGAAATTATATTAACTCTGAATTATGATTTTGCCTATCGCTGATGAGGGGGCACAGAAAAATGACACAGTTCAACAATTTTTCGACAAAATGAGGTCTTACGCACAAGGGAGACCTTTCATTTTCTGACTCTTTTGATGTTTTATATGACTTCCTTTCCTATAGAAATCTCAATCCTCACATTATAATTTTAGATGCCACTGGCGAAAATTGTTTTCTGGGTTGTATATCTAAGAAACTAAAGATTTAATATGAATAAAATCTCAAAAAATCAGCTTCGAGTTTAAACAAAAGCTTCTTCACGAGCTCTTCAAACAATCCCACTTATCTAATTCAAACATCTAAAGTTTCCAATGTTTAATTAACACTCAGTGGCCCATGAAAGCATCGCATGCGAAAATTGAATTTCATTAAATGTCAGGAGATTATAAATTTTGTGAAAAAAGCGTGTAGAATCCCCTCGGAAAAAATCATGTGCAATTTGTCGATCGCATTTGTTTATTCACTACTCGATGCAGATATTGCTGATCCCGAATATTTCGGAGCTCAAGGCATCTCAATCAAAACCACAACCACATAAATTTCAATAACTCATTATTCACCTTCTGCCTCTCTCGCCGCTTGTCGCCAAAGTTCTTCTTAGCTCCCCGTCTTCTGCCTCTGCCCATTGTTTACAGCCCTATTATTTATCCACTTCGTCAAGAGGGAATTTTCGTAGAGGCTATTTACACGGTGAAGTGTCCAAGTCCACGTGCTCAGCACTGACACTCTAGGCAACTTCACAGCAACGTAATCGTCTCCAGTCATTGGCTCGACGATCGCCAATGGCCATCGACTTCTGGGGGACACGAACCACTCACGAAAGACCACGGCGGCCAATACACCCCAGGAAAAGTCGTGGGTCGAGTGCGTGACGTCATCGATGGGAAAAATTTATTTATAAATTGTCAACGTTTAATTCTGCACTTTGCACTACTTTGCAGTCTTATACCTAAACGTGGTACAGAACACTGGGAACAGTTGCTGAGGTGAAGAAACGTGTTGAGGTCATTGTGGAGACAATTTCGTTGCCGGTTCGGTGAGTTTCTCTTGTTTTTTCGGGACACCGGTGTCTACTCGAGAATTTAGAACGCATTATCGAGGCTTGTTCGGCGAAATACGAAGGAAATTGCGGTGTTTTGTAGGAAATTGCGGGTAATTGGGCGAGATTTTCTTTTTTCGGGGGAAGAAAGCAAAAATTACGTCGGAAATTAATCGACAAGGAGCTCTATTGTAAAGATTGAACCGGGCTCAACAGAAAAATAAAAAAAATGAACGTTTTTACTTCTAATCAACGCTTTAGGTGCACTTACAGTTTTTTCTTTTCAAGATGTACCGATTTTGGGTGAGACGTTTCGTTTTTTCATGTCAATTCTCAACTTGAACAGTAAATTTGATTTTTTTCATCACTAGAAAAATTATGAATAAGCAGATTCTACCAGGAATCATTCCCAGAATGATTCTTGCATTGTTATTCCTGGGTTATGCGAGTAACAGTCATTTTTCCCTGTTGATCACTGTTTTTTTTTGGTAATTAAGAGGTTAAAGACAATTGTGTCAACATTTAATTACAATATTGCTATCCGCTATTCATGGAGCCATTTTCCAAGGGAAATACCGAGGAAATTTTCGTATTTTCCCATATTTTGATGCGAAATGGTTTTTTTGTCTAGCTATGAATAAGCACAATCTCGTAGGTATTATTCTCAGGATGATTCTTGCATTATTATTGGTTAATTAAAGGAGTAACGGTTATTTTTTCCCTGTTGATCATTCAGTTTTTCTTCTGTGATTAACAGGTTAAAAACACTTGTGTCAAGATCTATTTACATTATCGTTATGACACTTTATCGAGGTTCATTTCAAGGGAGTACCGAAGTCGTTTCAATATTTTGAGGGTACTTTTGACTGATTCCAGGATATTTACATTTTTTATGGCGTAATACTTCTCCCCTGCCCCGGTTGCGAATTATTCTCAGGATGATTCTGTCATTATTATCTTGTATCAAGATCTATTTACATTATAGCTGTTTTATTTTTCAATCCGGCGCCTTTATCCGAATTTTTAATACTTTATCAAGGCTCATTTCAAGAAAATACCAATGAAATTCCGTTATTTTAATGGTATTTTTAGCTGATTCATGGATAATTACTTTTTTTACGGTATAATACTTCTCCCCTGCCCCAGTTATGACTTATTTTCAGGATGAGTCCTGATTATTATTATTTAGTTGTCCTCGTAACGTTTTTTTCTCTCTTCAGCATCGAATTTTTCTGTGGAAATTAACGAGACAATCGCCTTAACATTTGTTTAGATTTTTATCTTTTCTCTTCTAGTTTTATTTTTATAACGGAGTATGAAGAATTTTTTTCAGGGAAATATTCAAGAAATTGCATATTTCCACTCGAAACTTCTTTATTCCCTAGTAATGAATGAGCAGATTCTGGCAGGAATTATTCTCAGCATTTTTCCATTACTATTCTTTGACTATACCAGTAACGATTATTTTACCCTGTCGATCATCCAATTTTCCTCTGGTAATTAAAAGGATAAATTGTCACAGCATCAAATTTCATTATTTTTATCTCTCACCTTCGCTCATTGTTCCTGTGGAAGGGGAGGAATGCTAAGCGAGAGACTGATAAGACGATGATTCATTCAGTAAATCGACACGTGTAGATTGTCAAAATTATGCGACCGCATTACTCCATCTCTCGAAATTTCATTGAAGAAATATTGACCGTGTGTTCCAGGTTGAATTTAGTCGCCAGTAATTAATAATTCAGAGATTAAAGATGAGTCTGCAGTGGACGTTGATTGCATCATTCTTGTACCTCGAGATATTTATTGTCCTCCTGCTGGTGCTTCCGATAGCATCACCAACGAGATGGCAGAGGTTCTTCAAATCTAGATTCCTTCAGAGTTTGAGCAATCAGGCGGCGATGTACTTCTTGGTTCTCTTGGCTATTCTTATTTTGTTCTTATTGGATGCTATCAGGGAGATGAGGAAGTACTCTACCACTGAGCATTCTGATCATGCACATTTGGATGCTGAGATGCAAGGTATTCATTCAAATCATTGGAAATAGTGCAAAATTGAACTGAAATATCTTGATTTATTAATGAATTAAAACTATATTTAAATTTATTCATCCTTCTAGTCAAGAATGATTCAGAAAATGTCATGAGATATTTTCTGCAGCTGAGAAAATTTCAAATAAAAAATGTTCAATGTTTTTTTTTGCTACAACTCCTTATTACCGAGATATTCTTCAATTAACAATCAATAAAAATGCTAAATTTGTATTTAATATTTTTTCTACTCAAGAATTCTTTAATCATTTCCTAAATGTAATTCTCAATTTATGTCCTGACATTTTTCTCGAAAACTATTCATTAATTAAAGATAATTAAACACGAATGAAAACACAAAAAGTAAAAATCAGTGGCGAGGTGGCAGTTTTCAATAAATATTTGGAAATCTAAGGGAGATGGAAAATTTTTTATTAATACCTTTTTTGTAGCCCTCAATTTGCTTTGCAAAAAAGGTTGCGATGAAAATTTCGTCATCTCCCTTAGATTAACGACTTGGACCGGTTTACCGCTTCGCTACTGAATTCTACCACTCTCGACTTTTTAGTTAAAACTGAAATAAAAGCGGAAAAAATGTAATGCATTTTTTTGTCATCAGGAAACATGAGACTCTTCAGAGCCCAGCGTAACTTCTACATATCCGGCTTTGCCCTCTTTCTCAGTCTCGTTATTCGTCGTTTAGTGCTGCTCATTTCAACTCAGGCGACACTATTGGCCCAGAGTGAGGCATCCATGCGTCAAGCACAGTCAGCCACGACGACAGCACGAAGTCTCCTCGCCCAGAAGGGCGAGGCAGCCCAGAATGACACCAATGAGGCGCACGACAAAGTCGTATCCGAGCTCAAGTCCCAATTATCAGAGCTGGCTAACAAGAACAGTGAACTCGAGAGTGAACTCAGGAGGGAGAAGAAGGACAAGGAGGCACTCAAGTCCCAGGCTGATTCCCTAGCTAAAGAGTACGACAGATTGACCGAGGAGCATGCCAAACTCCAGAAGGCTGGGGCTGGTGATAAGAAGAGTGATTAGACCCTTCTGACTCTCGTCTTTTTTTATAATTCTATCTTAATTAAGGGGAGAACATTGTGGACCCAATTTGCTCTGAAATAATCTCCACCTGAGGGATAAAACTATTTTTTTAAAGGAAAGAGATGTTCCAGAGCTGATTGAGGCTTCATTGGTGATTTACTAATTTTAAATTCATGTTTTCAATTATGATTTCTTCATTCGATTTGGAATCATTCGTATGCTTCTTCCATCTTCATACTTGAACGTAATGAATCTCCCTCAGAGATTGTGTATGATCAAAAAGTTATCCTACATTTTTACGCACTTTAATATAGTTTTTGGTGATGCTTAGTTGAACTGCTCATCTGCAGTTTCTGAATAAAATGTGTAATTCGAAAGTATTTGGTTTTATTGAGGGGAAATACTGGGCGAGTGGGTTAGATATTTGAGTGATTATCGACTTCTAACTCTCGTCTTTTTTTTATAATCCTATCTTCATTAAAGGAAGAAAATTGTGGACCCAATTAGCTCTGAAACAATTTCTTCCTGAGGAATAAATTTATTTTGTGAGCTGATTGAGGCTTTATTGGCGATTTACTAATGTTAAATTCATGTTTTCAATTATGATTTCTTCATTCGATTTGGAATCATTCGTTTGCTTCTTCCATCTTCATACCTGAACGTAATTAATCTCCCTTAGAGATTGTGTATCATCAAAAAGTTATTCCACATTTTTACGTACTTTAATATAGTTTTTGGTAATGTTTAGTTGACCTGCTCATCTGCAGTTTCTGAATAAAATACGTAATTCGAAAGTATTTAGTTTTATTGAGGGGAAATTCTGGGCGAGTGGTGTCAAGATTTGGGGGCTGTAAATAGACGACTGGTATGCACTTAAAATAACACTAAACTGTGCAGAATTCTCACCTATTAATTCTCCATCCTCTCCGAGAGTGAGACTTCTCGATTTTTCGTTCAATCGAAGGAATTAAACACAATTTTTTACATTAAACTTCACATTTTATATCTTTCGACGAATCACCTTGCTACAGTGCCCTTGATAATCAATCAATAGCAAATATCTTCAACTATTTCTGTACAATCGAATACACTCAACGTATATAAATTTCTGGATCTGCCCGAGAAATAAAAATAAATGATCTTGATGTCTATGCAGATAACAAAATAATTTACACATTGTCCTATTCAATTATCCCCTGATGTTATTGAAAACTAGATAGTTTTATTTCCACAGTTCTGTAAACAAGTGGTTTATTTTTCTTAAAGAAACAATTGATGCTTTTACTTGAGCAAGCATGTATTAGCATCCCGCTGAGATGAGACCACAGCGGCGTTGATCTACACAGTGATTGAATTCCTCAACTAGACTTGAACACTTCAGGATTTCTTTTGGATTCTCTTGGTAACAGCGAAGGACTTTTTCCTTGTCAGCACCACATGCAGGAGTTGTTGTATCAAGATTTATATTTTTGTTACCTGAATGACACAGAAACGATTATTTACTCAACATTTATACGTTTATCATTATTGTTTCTCATTAATTGTGGATTTATCTTCATAATCAATTATTTTTTAATGAAAATGAAATAGAAATTGAATTTCGGCAAACTTTCCATAAAAAATGTCTGAAAATTTATTCTGAAATCATTAGTAATTAAAAAAAAGAAGATTTTAGGATTGATTGTAGCCGATAGTGTCAAGAAACCTTTTCTCTAGCTCAAAGAATTAAAAAAAGAAGAAATAATCCCAATTTTATATACATAAACAAAACGACTTCTTGAAAAGCGAGTTCTTCATTATAATTTTAACCCATTTATGTTAAATATGAAATTATCTCCATAACGAATGCTTTTATAGGAAGATTACAAAAGAAATTTTTGTACCCAGTGAAATTTAAAATGGAAAAAAAACTGAAATTTTCCTCAAGACGACAAATGGATGTTTAACTTCTAGAACTGCTCTCCCAACAAAATCCCTCACCTTTAGCATTTGTAACTTCATCCATAGCACGTTTGTACTCCTCCTGGAAGATCCTGTTGATCCTCTCATGAGCCAATTTCAAATTATTCAGTCGTTCCTGCCAGTACTGATCGTGCGCCTGGAGCTCGAGCTCCTTCTGCTGCTGCATTTTATAAGCTGTTATCGTGTACTCTGGGTGAGTATGCACTGCTGGGTATCCTTCGCTGGGTGAAACTGGCGTTATCACTGGACTCTGTGGAGGTGCGGTGAGGACGTCTGGCCCTGGCTGCGGCTTTCGGCTCCTCGTTGCTAGACGATCAGCCAGATCCGTCGATATTTGAATAACCGATTCCTCATTGTTAATCGTCAATTTACGAGCACTCTGACTTTGTCCCATAATCAATCCCCTGATATGAATGTTCAAATAATCAAGTGATTTAGGGGATATCCGAGGGGGACAGACACTGATGAAATGAGTTTTCCAATTGTATTTTAGTTTTTTCGAGAGTTTGTCTTACAGAGAGGGATTTGCACTGGAATGGGAATTGTCGAGTTCAGCTGAATGAGAGAGATAGAGATTATAGTCAGAATTCTATAGATTTGATTCCGATTTAAGAATGGCTATTCAATTTTCGAAAATCTAATTGTTGCATTTTTGAGGAAAATTCGGTAATTTTTTTAGAACGATTGGGAAGTATATGAAATTAATATTTATGATAATTTAGAGGTATTAGTTGCAATAGCTTGGATGAAATTAAATGAACAAATTATTCCTCGTGCAAAGGTTCTTATGAGATTTATAATCAAATTTACAATTACATGGACGAAGAAATCTCATAGAAAATTGAGCGAATTAGCTGGAAAATTCTGTAATTTTTTAGACTAACTGCAAGATATATTAAATCAACATTTCTGATAATTTAAGGAGATTAGTTGCTTGGACGAAATGAAATGCACAATTTTTTTCTATTCATTCTCAAATTGATAATTCCACATACGAATAAATTTTATGCAAATATCAGCGAATTCGCAGGAAAATTCTATTGAATTCCTTTCGAACTTTTATTAATTTCAGCTATTGACTGTCAGTCAATGTGACAGAATTGGCACAACTATTTACCAATATCAACAATTGACAATAGCTATTCATCCAACCGATTATTTAAACTTTTATTTACTCTACAGACTTCGATAAATCCCAGTCAAGTAGAACGTGACACTTGTTTCCTCAAAAAAAACCCCAAAACTGTAATTACTGGAGAAACAATTGCATCAAAGGTCTGTCCCACTTGGACATCCTCGGTCCAAATACAGTCCTCAAACTTACTGAATGTAATCCTAACCGTAATTGTCCCGTGGGGGTTACCTTTCACTACGAACTCTCTCACTCTTGAATTATTTAGACCAAACACTTGAATTTTAACGAAATAAGTCAGACCTCAGTTACATAAATTTCATAATACATGCTGCATATCAAAGGTGCTCAACCCCAAATGGCCCTTTTCGAGGTTTTGTTCAGCCTGCAAAGGTGTGCATGAGAAGCACGGACATTGGCGCGTGACAGCAGACAATCTGCGTGCGCAACGGAGAAAGATTTTCCACCAGAAAATTCAACCGTGGATATCAAAAAGTACTCTTCAAAGTGCCTCTACTCCAACGATAAATTTAAAGATTATTCAAAACTCCAAAGAATTTCTAGAACACTCGATCAAGTTCGAAATCGTATCATTTCTCAATTCAATTATCGTTTTGGTTTTTCATTCGTTTTGCGTTTCGACGACGTGTTTATTGATCTCAAGATGATTGTTTTCACACAGGTGACTCAGTTAATTAGAAGAACTCTGTTTCTTTATTTTTTGTTTTCATTCGGTAAGTTTCTACTTTGAACCTGATCTTAATCGCAAAAAATGAACTTTTCACCCTTCTACTACCCTCAAGTACGTTTCCGAGGGGGTTGGCAAGTTTATAGGAGATTCTGGAACTCCTTAGAAACATCATTGTTTTTTTAAATTTTTCGTATTGAAAAAAAAAACTTTTTTTGTGAAAATCGTACAAAATGAACTTCTGACTCCTTAGAAACATGCTTCAATAGAAATCGTTTGTTTTTTAAGATTTTTCATGTTGAAAAAAAAAAGATTTTTTGTGAAAATCGCACAAAACNCAGTCAATGTGACAGAATTGGCACAACTATTTACCAATATCAACAATTGACAATAGCTATTCATCCAACCGATTATTTAAACTTTTATTTACTCTACAGACTTCGATAAATCCCAGTCAAGTAGAACGTGACACTTGTTTCCTCAAAAAAAACCCCAAAACTGTAATTACTGGAGAAACAATTGCATCAAAGGTCTGTCCCACTTGGACATCCTCGGTCCAAATACAGTCCTCAAACTTACTGAATGTAATCCTAACCGTAATTGTCCCGTGGGGGTTACCTTTCACTACGAACTCTCTCACTCTTGAATTATTTAGACCAAACACTTGAATTTTAACGAAATAAGTCAGACCTCAGTTACATAAATTTCATAATACATGCTGCATATCAAAGGTGCTCAACCCCAAATGGCCCTTTTCGAGGTTTTGTTCAGCCTGCAAAGGTGTGCATGAGAAGCACGGACATTGGCGCGTGACAGCAGACAATCTGCGTGCGCAACGGAGAAAGATTTTCCACCAGAAAATTCAACCGTGGATATCAAAAAGTACTCTTCAAAGTGCCTCTACTCCAACGATAAATTTAAAGATTATTCAAAACTCCAAAGAATTTCTAGAACACTCGATCAAGTTCGAAATCGTATCATTTCTCAATTCAATTATCGTTTTGGTTTTTCATTCGTTTTGCGTTTCGACGACGTGTTTATTGATCTCAAGATGATTGTTTTCACACAGGTGACTCAGTTAATTAGAAGAACTCTGTTTCTTTATTTTTTGTTTTCATTCGGTAAGTTTCTACTTTGAACCTGATCTTAATCGCAAAAAATGAACTTTTCACCCTTCTACTACCCTCAAGTACGTTTCCGAGGGGGTTGGCAAGTTTATAGGAGATTCTGGAACTCCTTAGAAACATCATTGTTTTTTTAAATTTTTCGTATTGAAAAAAAAAACTTTTTTTGTGAAAATCGTACAAAATGAACTTCTGACTCCTTAGAAACATGCTTCAATAGAAATCGTTTGTTTTTTAAGATTTTTCATGTTGAAAAAAAAAAGATTTTTTGTGAAAATCGCACAAAACAAACTTTTAGCCCTTCTACTACCCACAAGTACGTTTCCGAGGGGGTTGGCAATTTTATAGGGGATTGAGGGACTCTTTAGGAACATACTCCAATAGAAATTGTTTGTTTTTTCTGGATATTTCATGTTTAAATTTTTTTTTCACCTGGATCAAGGGTCAGATCTTGGATTTTTCCAGGGGAAAAGTCGACTTTCGGCAAAATGGAATTTTCTTGCCGCGTGAGCTCGACTGTATATGTCATTCTTGTTTTATTTATTTTACAAACTGCCACTTTGCTCATGAGCAGGATTTCCTTCAGTTTAGGTCACTGCGTACACGTTACGTCTTTTTCGCGTTGAAGCGGACGCGTGATTTTTTTAGATGTAACTGATCTGGCTCTCCCTCACAGGGAAGAGCGTGGTTGGGGCTCATCCCTCAATCGTCACTCAAATATTTAGCACTTAGGTAGTTATTATTATTAAGTTATTATCTTTTGCATTTGCCATCATCTGCGGACATTGTCTTCATAAGAATGACGTTTCGAGTCCATTATTATCAACAATTTAATTGGTTATCAGCGATCATCAATAGAGATGTTCTCAATAGGAACCACGTTTCGAGTCCGTTATTATCAACTATATTTCCTTACCTAAGCACGAGTTATCAGTGCTTTCTCAGAGCAACGCAAAAATGCTCTCAATATTATTTACGTCTTGAGTTCGTCCCTAAACTTGTCTAAAACCTAGCTGAAATTTAACTTCGAATTTCCATTGTCCCAAGCATGTAGCCATGTCATTCTGTCTGTATTATCGCGATAAATCTAAAAATTTCCACAATATCCCCTTCACCCATCGCCTCAAAAAAATTTCGAACCCCGACCATCCCCGAAAAACTGCTAATTTCACATTAGTTCCTTTCGCATCCCTAACGTTTCGATCCATTTTGATATGCCTATACTAACCCCAACCCCATCCACCCTCTCTGCCCCCTTTTGGTGATGAATCATCCCCCCCTGGATCAATCCGCCTGATCGACTAATCCCCCCTGCGAAATGGGGATCATCCAGGCGGCGAGCAGACCCCAGAAGCCCCCCTGCATTCCCTGTCCGGAGGGTTACGTTCCGGGGAATCCCGGAACATTCGAGGAGCTCCACAAGAAAGTCAAGGACCTCTATCCCCCGATATTCGAGGGTGCTAAATTACGAGTGAAGAGATGCTACAACGCCGACTTTTACACGATCCACTCCCTCAGTCTGAGCTCGATGACGCCCTCGGGGTACAAATTGGGCACGTGTTACACTGGCTCCAAGCGAGTGGGAAGACTGGAGCGATATCCCGTGATCATCGGGGAGCTGATGCCCAATGGGAACCTGGCGGCGACAATTGTTCACACATTGGGCTGTCGATTGAGGGTGAAACACGTCAATCAAGTGGTCAAAGGTAAATTCGAGGCGTCCAGCTCCACCGTCGAGTACAGATCGGACGAGGCAACGCTATCAGTCACCCTGGACAACCCTGACTTCACCAAGCGCACGGGAACCCTTGTCATTCACTATCTCCAGGCCCTCTCCAACAGGCTGACCGCAGGCACTGAATTCGCATTTCACAGGAGTCAGTTGATACCTGGGGGACGGGAGTCCATGATTGCACTGGCTCTGAGGTACAGCACGGGGGCTCAGACGTTCTCAGCGACTCTTGGAAATGCTGGATTACACTTCTGTTATCATCATAAGGCCAGCCAGCAGCTGCAACTTGGGGTAGAGCTGGAAACGAATTTGGCTAATCATGACTCGAGTGCTGGGATTTTTTACCAGCTCGATGTACCCCATGCGGATATTGTCTTCAGGGGAATGGTCAATACCAAGTTGACGGTTGGGGGCGTGCTGGAGAAGAAACTTTATCCGGTTCCTGACTCCTCGTTGATGCTCAGTGTTATGTTGAATCATGGGACTCAGAATTTTCAAGTGGGAATCGGTCTCAATGTCGGGTGATAATCTATTATTTTATTTTGAGTATGTACATTTACTGTGATACCAGGGTTTTTTATATAAAAAGTATAATGGGAGTCTTGTGTCTTGAAATTCGACAATTTTTAGTTTTTATGACGGTTTTGTAAGTTGGAAGGAAATTTACGAATTGAGGTCTCTTTAAATGAGTCACTGATGCAAATTGCACCCCAGTCTTGCCAACGATTCAATAGTGAAAATATCAAACGTAATTAGTAAGAAATAGCAAATGGTATTCTTTCCAGTTACGTGATTGTATTGCGATTATTATGAATTTATTGATGACTTAATTTTCACTCATTAATTAATTCAATTCGCTGATTCATCAATCAAGTGAATTCTCAAAACATGTGAATACAAAATTTACTAATTATGATTTATCACTCCACTGTTGACTACAAGCAGAAATTTCAATGTCGAGTGGTAATTTATTATTTTATTTTGAGTATGTACATTTGTACATTTACTGTGATACAAGGGTTTTTTTTATAAAAAAAGATAATGGGAACGTTTTGTGGCTGGAAATTTGTGGAGGAAAATGGGACCAATTTTTATTTTCTACGAAATGTTGGTAATTTAGAAACAAATTCACGAATTAAAGTGGCCAATATTAATTCAATGGGATTTTGAAATTTTAAATGAGTCACTGATACGCATTCAACCCCAATCTTGCCTAGTGATTCAATAGTGGAAAGATCGAACGTAATAAGGAAGAAATGATAAATCATATTCTTTCCAATTACGTGATTGTATTTTTTTTATTATGAATTTATCAATGACTTAATTTTCACTCATTAATTAATTCAATTCGCTGATTCATCAATCAATTGAATTCTCAAAACATGCGAACAAAAATGACTAATTACGATTCATCACTCCACTATTGACTACAATTCCGAGAAATTTTGTATCCCTTTCTGAGGAACTAATGCTCGTCGTGAATGATCTTCCGAGGCTCTGAGTCATCGGGCTTCTGCAGGGTTTCACCCGACGTAGCTTTCAAATCGTCGAAGTTTACTGTGGCTGCATCGAGAATGAGCCCGTTGTTATCTGCGTAGTCTAGGATTTTGCAGATTAGGGGAGATTCCACCCCAAGGATGTACTCGCAGGTCTTGGGCTCGAGGAGGAAGAGGGATACGCTGGACGGACTTGCAGAAGTGCTCTCCACACACTTCAGTCTCACCTGAAATTTCATTTATTCATTTATCCAGAGTCAACAGCCCACGACCAATTACAGAGCCAAATAATTCCAAATAACACATAAAATCTACTTTTAATTAATCATTCATTTATTTATTTCTTCAATCAATCAATTTTAACGATCAAAGAATAGAAAAATTCCCTCGTGAGGACTTTCTTGGGAATCGAAACGTCAGGATAATTTAGACTGAGAGATTCTTCTTGAACTTTAACTACCCTAAAATTGCTGAAGTCAATGTAGATGACACGATGAAATATTTTCATAACGAAATGCTACGTAAATATTAAATTAATATGTTGATGTATTAATACAAAAATTGTCATAATTTCTTATTATAGTATAATAAGAAGCTACAGTAGTTGGAGGAACATTTGATTGAAATGGAAATTACCAGTTGTTAGAATTAATACACAAGACACAAAGGAATTGATTCAAATTGTTTGTCCAGAAGTTGCAATAATTACCTCAGTCTGGCGCAGTTTTCCAGTCTTATCGCAGACACTGCCTTCACTGTAGAAGTGGGAGAGCTGTTGCCTCTGGCCCACAGGCTTCGGCCTCTTCTGGGGATGTGCCTCCATCCACTCAATGTGCTTCTGCTTGTCGAATTTACCCAGATCCACCATCGTCTTGGATCCATCTCTCTCCACGTGGTACTGCATCACTGATTTTCCGTAGCAAAATTCGTACTTCCACCAGCCATTACCCTAGAATTATTCCTCAATTATTCGAGAGTTTTTCCATCATTTTTCCCATTTTATTCTAAATAAATAATTCGAAAAATCTGAAAAAAAAAATTTGCTTCAGTGATTTATGGTGCAGTTGAAAATTAATAATCTTTCAAAATTTTTACTTCAGCCAATTTTGCAAGGAAATATCTATCAACTAAAAAAATTAGAATTGTGTTGTTTTACAGTTAGAAACATCTCTTGATATTTTCTAAAGCCACTCATTATCGGGCAGAACTGCTGATTAAAGAATACATACTCCATTCAAACAATGCTTTCCACTCAAAAAACTCTGCACAGGAGTGACATCCCCTGACGTTTGTCCTTGATTCATATCAATCATAGATCCGAGAAGATCCTCTGTATTCTTATCCAAACTGTCTGCAGCGTGAATTTCCACCCTACCTCGGGGCTCTCCATCCTAAAATGTCGATGAGGAAACCATAAACATGTTTAACTATTCCATTATAGAATAATTAATTCACCAGTGAAGTTGGAAAAGCAAATAATTCCAAAAAAAAATCGCACTCTCCAAATGTATTTCCTCAGATCTCTTTCGATGAAAGAGATTCGCCCAAATTCATCAAGAGAAATTTTTTGTAGACCATAAAATCCCAAAAATCTCTCGACGTTTTGTTCCAAACCTCAGTCTCAATCATTTTCAAAATAATCAGAATGTGAACTTAATTTTCCAAATTATCTCTTCACTGCTGAATTTCAAAGCCCAAAATTGCCTGGATTTTCAAATCTCAGTCAAATCTCAAGTAACATGCCACAAAAAGCAACTGTGCAAATAAAAATAAATAAATTGCACTGCAGAGGTGTACAGAAAGCCCAAATAAAACCAGTAATAAATTGCACACCCAGAGCGCATTTATAAGAAGCCCATTCCCCTAGAATGAAGATATAATTTCTGACCTGGCCGTCCGTAACTATACGGAAGATCCTATACACTTTCTGTGGCTTTTCATCCTGTTCAACAAATAATTCAGTGTGTGTTGAGGTGATTAAACAACAAAATCTCTCTAACGATCTATCATCCTGGAATGGCTAATTTTGATTAATCTCTCAATGCTGTCGTGACTTTGTTAATTCCATTATTCGCCAAGTCGTCCTGGGGAGGGGGGCTTATTGAAACAGCTTAATTAAATCGAAAAATAATCGTGCAGAAACTTCTACAAGAATTAACTACCATTACTAATTAATTAATAACGGAAGCTCTATACTCCATTCAGCAGCAAACATTTTCCTCAAATGTAAAATTATTTCATTGAGAGGTTCTTTGTGAATGCACTCATTACATAAATCATTAAATGATTAAATAATTCAATGTTTAAATACTGAAACCAGTGTTTTGTGCATTTCCTTGATAAAATTACCAACTAAACGCAATTAATTGCTTTCGGTTTTTGGAACATTTGAAGTTCTGCATTAAGAAATTGTCTGCAGAAGTCTAATTCCCAGATTCCAATTACACAATATACAAATTGAATTCTTCATATTGCATAACTCAAACTTGTCAATGTTTAATTTATTGTGCAGAATTCAAGTGAATGTGGGATTTAAGAAAAAATGGGGATTGATGGGTTTTTTTTGCTTCAATTCATATTCAAAGTGAATGAATTTAACAAATACAAGACATAATAGAACAGAAGAATGAATAAATACGATTGACTATATCAAAATTGAAATAAAATAGATTATTTTCATTACAAATTATGTCCGCAGTAAATACACGAAATCAATCTGTATGACGTCTGTTTTGCTCCCAGATAAAGGGCTTCCAAATGAAATCTGGAGTTTACACAGCACAATGTGTAATTGGTTCGGTGTATTTCACTTTAGTAGAATTCAATAAGTATATCATGTGATTATAATCCGAGAATTGCAATTTCTGAACACAAGCTCTCACTGCAAGACATCGAAAGAAAAAACGAAGGAACTCATTTCATCCGGAAAATGTAATTGGATACTTGTTGGCTACTGAATTCATCTAAAACCAATCAAAAATAATAATGGCATCAATAATAAATGAATAATAACTATCAACCAAGATGAAAATAAGAGTGAAACTCCCACGATATGTTTACCATGACTTTCTGATGCCTGAGCTTGAGGCTCTCGGCCTCGAGGGCAGCCAGTGCCCTCGGTCTCTTGGGTGCTTTATCCTGAGGCACACAGTTGATCTCATCCTCGCCCCCGCCCCTGGGGCCGTAGTCTGGATGACTGCAGATGAAGGGAGACAGGACGATGGCCTCGTACTCGCAGCTGGAGGTCTCCTCCAGGGACAGGATCTCGTGTTTTCCCTGCTGGTGGCAAACGTACAGCAGTTTAATGGTCCTGGGTTTGTTGCTGAGGTCGCAGATTGTCCCATCAGTCATCTCGATCTCCACGTAGGGCATCTGAATGCCATCGAACTTCTTCGTGGGAATTGCCGACTTCTTGTCGGGGTTCTTCGCCAATTCGTCGTACTCTGATGAGAGCTTCTCCTTCTGCCCCTTGGGGAATCTTCCCAGGTAGAACTCTTGCACCTTCACCTTCTTCCCTTCTCGCTCTTCGTGGTATTGGCGGACGTGTCTGCCGTGACATACTTCGTATGTCCAATATGTTTCTAACTGAGGGGTGAAGAGAACAAAACTAGAGAATTCATTTGTGATTGAGTATTCGTTTATCGTTATTGATAATTAATTTATAATTATCAATAATTATAAATTAATTATAATTGATAATTAATTTATTATATCAATATTTAGAATTAGTTTATTCATTTATAATTAGAGTTTTGAGATTTTTGGAGTATTGTTCAGTACCTTGAAGGAACATATGTTCTGATTGAACAGAGGAGCTAGCAGTTCGATAGGGTTGGGCCCTGTGTAAGGCTCATCACTATTCTTCTCTTGCTTTTTAGCAACTGGAATCATGCAGGTATATTTCTCGTTGTTGGCTGTGGTTATTGGATACTGCTCGAGATTGTCCTGTGTCTGCTGAAAAAATACGAAATAATTCTCTATTTAGGGCTATCTTTGCCATGAATGGTAAATTAATTGAACAGGGGATATGAAGAAGTATGATTATTATGAGGAAAACAGTTTCAAAAAATACTGACACCTTCCGTGAAGTTTTTAGGATATGAGCTTGTAGGATTTCATCAAATTTAGCTGAAATCTGTCAAGTCTTTTGACAATTTTAGGAGTTTAAGGATTTTTAAATATTTTTCTCAAAGTTCCATGAAATTCCAATTTGATCAACACCAGATTTCATGCATTTACTCCGTTGTAAATAATGGAAATTGTGTAACCTTTCAGAAATTTTATTGTTTAAAAAAGTGAAATAGAATTGTGGCAAAATTTTGAATATATTAATGGACTCAAAATAAAACAAAAAATTCAATTTACAATTTAGTATTAATTTTCAAGAAAACGATATTGAATTCGATTAAGACTGGCAGAAAAATCATGAAATTTAAAATTTCACTGAAAATTCTATAGAATTCCATATTTTTGAGCAGCAGCCGAAAGACGAGAATGAGAGCCTGAATAATTCCCCAAAACTGCTCAATTTCTAATCAATTAAAAATCCAAGAATATATTCACCCGAATCGTTCTCATTTCCATCAATTTCCATAAATTAAAAGAACTGAAATTTACCATTTTCATTGATTTTTCTTCACATTGTGATTTGTTACCGACGAAATTCCCCAAATGGAACCCTCAGTGAAACCCTCACTTGGGGAAAATTTCCAAGTCTTTCCTAACAGTGTATGGCCTAACGATTGTTTACAATTTTCTCATTCAAAAGCTCTTAATCTTAAAAAATGCAGTTTAAAAAACCCCCCCCTGCATATTACCCCATCAGTCCCTAAAACGATCTGTTAAGTTGCTCCAAAACATGGAGCTCCAACTTTTGGAGCAAAAAAATCGATTGTCAACCCGCGAATTCAGATGAATTGTCTCACCAATAAATCCGTGCTGATCTTCCCAGGCCAAATGATTTTATAAAGTACGTCAGCATCCCTAGCCGAGAACTCCAGGCACTCCACAAGAAACAACACTTGACAAATAACCAAAAAACCGAGTCTACTTGTCCTACGCATTTTTGTACATTAGAAGTAATTATCACAGGCTGTTATTACATGTCGTGAGTGACACACGTCGCAGGACACAGTGGGATACCGAGCGGCTTACAGCATGTTTTGGTTTTATCGAAAATACTGCTGAATTGTGGAATATAGGTGCAGGTTTTTAGTGGCTCTGTGTGAGTGAAGTTGACACGCGCATGGACACGTAGAGAAACACGAGTGGTTCGGCGATGATTTCCCCCACTTCGTGAGAGCCACCGAACGCTGCAGAAAGTGCTTTCATGACAATCAAAACAAACTGACGCTTACGTGATTTTTAAGGGATTTTTCATTGGGATAAACTGATGTAATTGGGCCTTGAGGATGACTGCACACGTCATGTGCTTAACTTCCTCGGGGGGAATCCCTTTATTCTCGAGGAAAAAGGGAGAAGGCAGTGTTGTAAGTATTTAATTGCATTCAATTATCAAAGAATGCAGTGAAACCATTTAAATTTGATGAATTGATTGGAGAATGAAGTGTTCGAATCAAATGAGAAAAGTCATTGATTGAATTTACTCGGTTATTGTGCAGATGAGGGGATTGTTAATTATTTTATTAATTAGCTTTTATCTAATTGAAATAATTCAACAAGTAATTAATTAAATTGAAAAAAATGTCGTGAAATCGTTTCAATTTGATAAATTGAGGGGAGAATTGAATTTGAATTCCATGATAAAACTAATTCATTGAGTTTACTCGGTTATTGTGCAGATGAAGAGGATTTTGTTGATTTTAATAATTAGCTTCCATACTAATTGAAACAATTTATCAAGTAATTAATTAGATGGAAAAATACAATTAAATCCTTAAATTAAGTGAAAACATTACTTGATTAATTGATTAATTACCTACATTTAATTGAAATAATCATTATTGTTCGTTTAAAAATGAAAGAATGCAATGAGAAAAAAAATCCAGTGATGAGTGGAAATAGAGAATCGAATGATCAAATCAGATACTGAAACTCATTGATGAAATTTAATGATCCATTCAACAATCGAGTGAGGTACCCTAATTACTTAATTAAATATTTTCCAGTGATTAAGATAATGCAGGGCACAGCCAAATTCATGACATTCTCAGTTGAATTAAAATATCAAATTATCTAATCAAACGATCGAACTCATTACTTAATTATAACTCTTCACCTCAAACTGAAGGAACCGCTTCAATTAATTGATTAAGTGCATTTTTTTTCTTTTATCAATTAATTGCATTTTACCAATTAAAAAATTTGAATAAAACAAAAATTAAAACTCATAATAATAATCGATAATAAATAAAATTAGAAAATCGAATAGTCCTCAACTGAAATGCTAAAACGATTGATAACAAAATTGATGTTAATTATTAATTATTCAACAGATGACATTCTCGAAGATGGCATCCCTCAGCGGCATCCACATGTTCCTAAAATCCCAAGACATAAAGCTAAAAACCACAGAGATGCCGGACACAACTGTCGTCTGGAAGGAATTCGCCGAGTCGATTACTCTCATCGCAATTGCCAGTGGCACGACCAAGAGTGTTCTCGAGAAGTTCATTGATGCCGTCTTCAATGCTATGATCCTCGTGGCTGGGATCGACGAGATAAAGAACTCGAGGAATGTCGAGAGGCTGAAGAAGGAGCTGAGGAATTGTAATAACATCATTGATAAGTTGTTGGATTGCTTGGATATTGGCAACAGGAGCTGCAGTGAGATCGACTTGGTGACGATGTCGAGCAGTATATTGTGTCCTGAGAATCATTTTCTTCATGTATGGGTTCATATTTAATTCATTATTTCGAGGAATTCATATGAATTTATGATCGGTTCATCTCAGAATCAGGGATAGCCATATCCATTAATTATAATTACATTGATATCACCCTTGAATTTTAATTATTGAAGTAATCATCAATTTAAATATTCAAATTCCGAATTATTTATGAATCAGTAATTTAGTTAGGAAGATAATTATTTACTTAATAAAAAATTTGCAGTTCCGTATCATTAAATATTAAATTTATCATTTGGAAATTTAGAGTATAAATTCTAAATATAAATTTAGATTTATATTTAAACCTTAATCAATGTAAGTTGGAAATTCTTTTAATACTGAAGAATCGTAAGACTGATGGCCATTCTTGTTCAGAACAGAATGATTTGAAAATCATATTGATATTGCAATGATTTTTATTCAATTTCAGAGTAGTCTAGAGATGTTGATGGAGTATCTAGAGTCCACTTATGGCTGCATTCTGATTCATGGCTGCATGGCAGTGGGCACAGACAGCTGGCTCCAGCTAGACCCCATCGAGAAGAAATTACTGATGATGGCAGCCTCGATGGACAGCACCTGCTCCACCTGTGATCTTCCAGTATTTCTCCCCAAGATGAGCCCCAACGTAATTGAACACAACTCCTCAACTCTGAAATTAATTCACGACATTTCATGCAAGAGACTCTTCTGATGTACTCATTAATTCTATTAATTGTAGGTCGCATTCAGACTGATATCAGTAACTCTGATAAGAGGAATTCAAGTCCTAGCCCTCTGTGGGCCTCGTCCAGACTTGATCGAAGTGGAGAAAACTGTTATCCAACACTGGAGGAATAACGTGGACACTCTGAGAGCTGCTGAGCAGGCGTATCCTCAGTGTTATCCAGCTGATCTGTCCTTGGATCCATCAATTCTAGGGTAAATCAAGAATATGAGAAATTAAGGCCCGAATGAATCATCTTTCGAACGTGATCTTGGTTGTTTTTTTTGTTTTGATAATCTGAAATGATCTCCAATTGCTATTTAGTTTTACATAGCCCTGGAGTCTCCAAAAATTATGATTCTACAATCAAAAAACATTGAAAAGAAGCTGAACATTTTTAAAGAGCGTTTTTAATATTATTGGGAAATAAACCCAATAGGGAGGAAATTGCAAATTAATAATTTGATGTATCTAATGGCTGTTATGTCGTCATTTGTCACAGTAGTCAATGGCTATCAGATCGTTAGTTACCATGATAAATTATCCATTCACTATTTCCTCTCTATCGGACCTATTTCTTAATCTTTATTAAAAACTCTCTTTGAAAATGTTTTTTTTCTACTTTTTTTAATTGTACAATCATAATTTTTAAGGACTCCTGCGTGATGTAATCCAATGGAAATTGTGATATATTTTACATTATGAAGATGGAAAAACAATCGAGATAACATTCGAAAGATAGTCCACCCGGGCCTTGAATTCTAAATCGCATTGGAATAATTTACGTTTTCAACTTACGGAAATCCTACAGGATTTACTATGAAGAAATAAAATATTTTGTATAGAATTTTTCGGATAAAGGTCCTATAACATTAAAGTGTTAATAATGTTAATGTTAATAATGTTAAATATTAATTCTATCGGAATTTCTATAACATTTTTTTATAGATGTTGAGTCTAGAATTAAAACGAAAAAATCTATACTTGAATTTATTTTTAGATTTCTACTAGTAGACTGCAACATTGGAAAATTCGTCATGGGAAGAAACTCGAACATGCAGTCGACGAACCAACAAATGGGCACTCAGAGACTCGACATTCTCAAGACATTTTATTATCAGGCGGTGGAGCCATTCCTATTCTCCCAAAAAACTGAAACCCCAGTTGGAGAGAAAAATCCAAGTGATCGTAAAGTGATTCATGCCAGGGAGACTTACTGGTGTTCAGAGTACCACAAGTGTCACGCTTTCAGGGAGAAGGACAATATTCTGTGCATTTTGTACCCTTACTCCGTACCGAATTACACGATAAGACTAATAACTCGAAAGACATTGAAAATACTCATTTCTGACAAGCAAACCTGCTGGTGAAACACGCATTATTAATTGAGTATTATTCAGTCATCAACAATTACTTTTTACAACGGAAGTTTTTTACATTTTATACGAAACTCAACTGGTGCTAATGAAAAAATAATACAAGTGAAAGAGCGATTGCGTAAATCTGTGGAAATCGAGTGTGATTTGATCTTTTAATTATTAAATTCTGAAATTTTCTACATACTATTCAATTAAAGAGAACATTCTCATAAGCTAATTTTTCATTTATTTTTTTTATCCTGAAGAATAACTCCAACAGGAACTTTGAAACTTGAGACTCAAATTCTTCCTGAGATTTGCAGAAATTCAGAACTAAATCGAGACTTGTGCCGATTGAACACAAAAACAACAATCTAAAAACACCAATTATCACTAGGTAAAAAAATGCAAAAACGTCATCATGAATACGTTTATTAAAATCGACTCCTTCACTCCCCTCGAAACAACTCCATTCAAATCTCAAAATAACTCAAAATCGATCGATCATCAGTTCATTCCCCGGAACATGACTAGAAGATCAACAAAACGTCGCCATAACGAAGAAAACGTCTAAACATAACAATAATTTCCTAATTAATCCGTAAAAATCGTCATCACTCTGCCCTGTTGAGCTCTGATATGCTGTATTTACGATTCCTCAGATTGATGACGACAACAGTGATATTATCGAGTGATCCCCTGTAATAACTCTGCAAGGTGAGGCTTTTTGCCCCGAAGTAGGGTTCGTTGAGCCTCTCCCTGATGTAGGCAACGGCCTCTTCATTCGAGAAAGTGTCCCACAGACCATCAGACGCGAGGATCAGAAAGGACGGATCGTGATCGCTCAGATCGAACGTCAGAATGTCAGGATCAGCAATGACGAGTTTTCGGTCCTTCAGGGGGTAGTCACCGAGGGCTCGGGACGTTGCCAGGATCCCTGCCACCCTCCAGACACCGTTGAAGGTCACCAAGCCCCCGGCTTTGTTGATCCTCTGCCTCTCGCGCTGCTGCTGGGGCTTGTGATCGAAGGACAGGGGAATTGCGTTCCCTTTGCTGTCACACATTACACCTCTCGAGTCTCCAACATTGGCTACGGTCAATTTATTGTCCTCCAGGACAGCTATCAGGGCTGTCGTTCCTGCCACATCCATGTTCTTCTTGGCGGCTTGAATCAGGTGACTGTCCACAGCTAAAACCTGAAATTTTCAGGGGTGAAAGATGAGAATCTATTTGAGTACAAGTTGGGGTGAGGAAATAGAAGTGATCAATTTGGTGCAATCAACCAATTTTTGAGTAATGTTTAGCAAGTCATCACATCAGATGATAAAACTTTCTAATTCATTAATTAATTGACTTCCATTCATTATAATAATGGAGGGCATAAGCAAATTGCATTTATCAATTATAAAAATTTCAGGGGAAAAATAACATTGAATAATAAAGCTATTTTCTTTCTAGCATAATTGTTCGGGGGTCGGCCTAAATCATTAATTTAATAATATCATGATGTTTGAACTTTAGTGATATTTGAAAAATAATAAAATGATTGATAATTTGAATTTTCAATTGATTATTGAGTAAATAATTCTAAATTTCATAAAAGGATTTTCGATTAGCCAAATAATCGTCAATCTTCCAAATTCAATTATTGATTGATAAAATAATTCAGAATTTGAATATTTAATTGATAATTAATGTAATAGTTGAAAAATTGTTGAGTAATATTAACAATTGACTCATTCAAAAACTAACTTTATTCAAAACTTTATTTAAAAAAAATTAATTTATTAATTAAATTGCGAAGATTTTCTAGTACTTTTTATTCAACTTTTCTCTCCATGTAATGAATTTACTGATCAGTGCGATCTGTCATTAATGAAAATCACTACGAACCTCGTCAGTCAAGAGCTTAGCGTAATTAATCCTCTGTCCTTCTATGTACATCGACATGTCCACAGTCTTCGGAGGGGTCTCGGGGGGTCGATCGTGCCGGACTTCCCTCGTTATTGGACGGACTAGGCTATTCAGCTTGTTCAGGAGCTCGGGATCTGTTATTGAGCCTGATTTACTCTTTATGGTGTCGTCAGTGGTGGACACAGTCTTCCGGAAGGACTTGCGTTTCTCCAGCGGACTCTCAGGCACTTTCGGCTCACTCGGGGGGTTCGGGGGGTCAGACTCCTGAGGGCTCACTGGAGCCTTTCCTGCGATCATGTTCTTCAGCTCGATCACCTTCCTGTTTATGTTGGGCATCAACTTGTCGCGGGCGTAATCCGCTGCAAACTTTAATTTTTATGGGGGAATTGAGAGAGGATTTTATTTGGTGAACGAGTAGAGGGGAATATTGAGATTTTTTAGGGGTTGATGAAGTAAATGACAATTTTTGTTGGTAATTTTTTCAGTTTGAGAAAGGGAAAGAATATCCAAGTACTTTGCAGTCGAAGAACAAAAACAGAAAAGCATTTGAGCCCCATTTGACCCTAAGTATCCGGAAGTTTTACAATGATTTTATTTTTTAAACTTTGCAGGTCTGAATTTGAATATTGATATTGAACCGTTAAAAAACATTTTTAAACTCTGAAAAAAATAGAACTTTGACCTTTGGAGGAAGATTAATGAAATCATTGAAAAATTGCAATTTTCGAGAATTACGAGCATTTTCTACAAACAATTTTGAGCAATCATCTTTTCACCATAAAAAATCATTTGTTCGGAATTGTAACAAATTTATTCACATTTAGAATTTTACCAGAAATCGATTTCATGCATATCATTTCTTTGGTTTCAATTATTGATGTATAAACAACGACTGTTTAAAAACATAATAATTCTGTGCAAAATGTAATGTTAATGACACTGAATATTCATGATTTTGTTAAACTTTTTCTCCCGCAATTGAATTAACAAATTTGGTGATTGAAAATGGTTGAATCTATAGTGTGCTCTGCACCAATCGGTAAAAGATACTGAGACATCCTTAACATTCCCTCTCAAAATTACTTATTGACGAGATCAAAGTGCAATTATCTAAAAAAATGAAACTGATTCTTTCCATTTTTTTTCTAATTCTCTCATTATCACTGAATTTGTGAAATTATCTTGAATTATCTTGAGAAGGAGTGAGTTTAGGGCAAAATGTCAAAAGAAATTTTTTTTAGTTTATAAAATTTCCCACAAAAATTTTCTTATCACATTTTCCCCTGAACTCGCTCCTTCCCAAGATAATCCCTTAATTAAAAAATTAATCAACTGAAGACTCATCAAATTACCTCTCCCCCGTGTCCATCGAAAACCGCAAAAATCGAAACCCCAGTTTTGTTGATATCCTCATTAACTACGAATCTATCCTCCATATGAGGCCGATGTCCCTGTACTGCGTATGCCGCGACATAACCCTCCTTGAGTTCCCACTTGAGCTTTTCGCCACTAGTGCTTGCATTGGCAACGAGGAACTGCAGCTTCGACACCTGAAATGCCCAAAAAAACCCTCAACAACTCCATCAAACGTTCATTCACCACCTGACATACCTTCGAACTCGTTTTTCCAAGGGTATACTGAATCTTCCCGAGCAAAGTTCTGCTCCAAACATCGACTGCCTGCAGGTAGAACAGTATGACGAACATAACTGTACCACAGAACAACACTTCTGGCTTGAGCGCATACAGACGCATCATCCTCCAAAAATAACCGATTGGTGTATTAGAACCAGCGGTTAGACTAGTGGGCAAACCCACGGCAAATTTTGAGAGGAGCTTCATGTATGATACATACGTCTGTGGATTAAATAAATATGGGGTATAAATATTATAATCTAAATCATTGCCACAGACATGCATTTGAATACGAAATGTTATTAACTCTTTGAAGAAATTATTTCTTTGCAATTGCAAAATTGGAAAAATTTATGACAATTATGGAGTGCAGTTGCAGCAATGATAAGTGCAAATGAAGAATTCATAATTTTTTTAGAACTCAAATCATTATCACAGTCAATTAAATTCACTCTTAATTATTCACGATTGAGGATTTTTTTTATTAATTAGCCCTTTGCAACATGAAAAAAAAATGATAGATGATTTTTTGAAGTTATTAACATGAAGGGAATTATCTTAAATGTGAATATAAAACGTTATTAACTCTTTGAAAAAATTATTTTTTTGCAATTGCAAAATTGGAAAAATTTATGACAATTATGGAGTGCAGTTGCAACAATGATAAGTTTAAAGGAAGAATAGATGATTTTTTCAGATGATACTCATTACATTCCATTGAAATCATGAATTATTAATAACTCTTTCAATTAATTGTTCCCGCAGCAAATTTTGAGAGGAGTTTCATGTATAATAAACACGTCTGTTGATTAAATAGATGTGGGGTATAAACATCATGATCCAAATCATTGTCGCTAACAATTAAATTCACTCTTAATTACTCATGATTGAGAATATTTTAAATCAATTATCATTATTTGCAACGAAAGAATTAAAAAGCACCCAAGACAATTGCTTAGAGCAAAAAATGATAGATTGATTAACACGAAGGCAATAAGATTTCATTTGAATATTAAATCGTTAATAATTTTGAGAACAATTTTTTTTGCAAAAACAAAGTTATAAAAATCAATGAATGAAGTCTCTAAAGGAAATGATATTCGGGCTATAAACATTGAAATCAAGATCATTTCCGCAGACAATTAAATCGATTAATTAAATTAATTCGAAGATTTTTTAAAATTATCCCTTTGCAAAGACAACAGAAAAACACCCAAGAAAATTGTTTACAACAAAGTCCGTTTGGATATTAAATCATTAATAATTCTTAGTAACAATGATTGCGTTGCACCAACAAAATTGGAAAAATTTACAATTATCAAATGCAATTAAATCAGCTACGAGTGTAAATGAAGGATTTTTTAAACTAATTTGCAGACAATTACACTGTATTTTAAAAAATCAGTCATTAATACTCAGCTATTAATTCCTTAGCAAACAAGCGATGAATGATGAATTAAAATACTTCTCCCCGAGAAAATAACATATAATTTAATTAATGAATCACCCACAATTTTTTAAGCAATGATTAATATCCAAAACAAAATCAAAACCCAAAAAAGCAATTATCGACAGCAGCGAGAGCACAAATCATCGTAAAATGAGTTAAATTCCCCCTCAATACTCCTTGATAATTACATTCCAACAATACTAATAAATGAAAACTCATATTTTCAATCAATCATCCCTTTGCAACAACAAACCAAACAACAAAAACAATGAACCACTCTGCAACCCAATTCCATCCCCCCACACTATCGGAGCATGTCAAACTGTCCCGACAGCTAACCTATCACCACAATCACCACTAATTAACACCCTTTAATTACCTGATAAAGCACTTTATCCTCCAATTCATCATCCATATCCCTCCAATCTCCAACCTCAAAAACCGATAGCCCAAAAATCCCCCTCAAATACCCAAAAAATTGAACTTTGAATTCCAAATTCAAAAGTCACATCGCAAAACTGCGTAATCCACCGAACGATTAAAATTCCCCTCGATAAAACCCAAAAAGATGTCTTTATTGGACCCGCCGGAGTTATCAAAACCCTAATTTGTCTAAAATAGAGAGCTCATTTTTACGAAAGAGTCGTATTTTCGAGAGGTTTTGACACATGTATATCTAGTCCAGTAAAATAATGTTTTCATGAGTTTTAATTGGATTTTTCCCCTGCGCAAGTGTTCCCATTGGTCCAGCGACTCGAATGTGGTTGGCACCCGTGTCATTGGCTTTGCGTTTATCATTCCGCCGGATCCACCAGTAAAAACCCCTGGGGCGGGGGGGCCAGAAGCCACCACCTTCCTGAAGACCCTCTCCCTCCCTCTCACTTCATCCCACAAACTCACATCTCTCCGTCTCCCTCTCTCAAAAGCTGACGCTTCCTTTGAGGTGTCTTAACCAATCGGAGTAACGTACGAAATTTACGCACAGGAATATACTGACGTGTCCCCAAAAGCCCACCACTCTCGCGATTCATGATCATTCTCGAAACAGAAGTAAATTAAACGCACGACGTGACGAGCTACCAATTTGTTATCGGTTATTGTGTGTTGACTAAATTGTTTGTTATATCATCAGCATCAGTGGACTCATTGTGGCTAAACTATGGCTGTAGGAATCACTAATTTCGTCAATTCCTTCACCAACAGACTGTAAGTAATCCCCAGTACCTACTCATTTTATTTTGCAAGAACGAGAAGAAAAATCGTTATCAGAACGCGTTTTTGGGGAAATAGATTATTTGTTTATGTCCGCTGGGGAACAGATGGGGCAGCTCGGATCAATTATCTTCGGGGTTGGAGGGGATGCTCCTGAACGTTTTTTTTGGCAATTTTTGTCGATGATGTAACGAAAAACAGAAAGCTGATTGGGTCGAGTCATTGGGTGATTTCGAAGAGAGTGGACGCTCCTGACTTTTTTTATTTCAATAATTCATGAGTTGTGGATTGAAGGAGGGGAAGTGCTCCTTCAATGGCGGGAGTGGGGCAGAATGCGAGAATTTTTTTTATGAAAAGCATTTTTCCTGGTCTTTGTAATTAGTCTGAACTGAGCTTGATTGATTATTTCAGTTCTGAGTCGAAACAGGTGAGAAGGGGTTTTTTCCTTTTGTATTTTGTAGGTATTTTTTTGGGCTTTAAAATGAGACCTGAGTCATTCAAATCGTATGGTTTGGTCGGGAATTATTGGAAATTCAAAGAGGTCCATTTTACCTCACTTGCCCTACTCCCAGGGAAATGACACTAACAGTGTGAATCTAGTAAAACTCTGTGTGATGTTTTTTTCATTTTTTTCAACAGTATTTCAAGAGGATTTTAAATAAATCTTCTACATAATTGTTTCATTTTTAATTAATCAACTCTTTTTTTGTGAAGGACAATTTGTTCGTATTAAATTAACTATTTACTTGATATGAAGGGAAACGCAAGTAAAAGTCAAGTTCAAGGTCGAATAAAAGCTGCATTACGAGATATTTAAATAAACCCGTTTGTTTGATTCAAATAAACCATTTCGCCGGGTAACTTCTCAAACGATAGAAAAACGTTGTTTTATTCGATTGTTTCTTATGAACATTAATGAATTTGTTCCTGAACTCCGGAATTTTTGAGAACTTTACTTCAATCCAATCAAATGAAACTATTTTTTTTATTTTTTCATTTGTTGCAATAATGTTTCAAGAAGAATTCAAATAAATTGTTTATTAAAATCATCAAAGCAATTCAGTAGCGAAGTGGTAAAACGGTTTAAGTCGACTTATTTCCCAATTAAGTTTTTGAAGAATATTTCCGAATTTAAAGGAGATAACGAAATTTTTGTCACTACATTTGTTGTAGCACTCAATCGGCTCTACAAAAAAGGTTATAACCAAAATTTTGATATCTCCCTTACGTTCCGAGATATTCATTGAAAACTGGTCAATAGTCAAAATTGACTTGTACCGTTTTACACTTCGCTGCTGATTTACTTAATATGAATAGAAATCCAAATAAAAATCAAGTTCAAGGTTGAATAAAGCTTCATTACGACCTATCCAAATAATCCCCTTTATTTAACTCAAGTAAACTATTTCTCTGAGTTTTAAATAAACTGTTTCTCTGGGCTTTTTTCTGTGAAAAAAATGTCGATTTATCCCCTTGTTTGTTACTAAAATTGATAAATTTATTCACGAGTTATCAACAAAAATTGATTCTTCATTTTTCCGTACACGTTACACGATGATTATCATTTCCACTGTTTTTATGCGAAGCACGAACGTATTGAGTGGCATTCCTCGTATTTCCCCGATAAGACGCAGCTGATAGTGAAGACGTGTTGGACTCATTAAGAGTTACATCGGCCTTCAGTTGAGCATTAAGTAGCTGACGTATTCGCAATAATTTATTGGACTGTTTTTGTGTCGATAGGGAGGCACCGCTACGGCAACACCTCAAGAATGTCTACGGGTGTTTGGCAATGTCAACATTGGCAGCAGGGACTGGTGCCTGTGTGCACCTGTTCACGGATCTCCTCGAGGCGAGTCTCTTGAGTTCTCTGGGCGCCCTGGGGCTGTTGATCGCCCTGGCGGTGACGCCCGACAATGGGAAAAATCAGAAGCTTCGGCTCGGGTATCTCCTGGGATTCGCATTCCTCTCGGGTCTCGGATTGGGTCCTCTTCTGGAGATTGTCATCAGCGTTGACCCGAGCATCATTGTCACTGCACTCGTTGGTGAGTTTCATGGGGTTGACGTCATTTTTTTGGGGAATTCTAGAGTAGGAAATTGAAGGAGAGACTCAAACCTCTGGCACTGAGGGAGGCATTGAATTCTGGAATTTCCTAGGTTTTTTTTTATGTTGAGGAGAACTTTAAACGTAAATTTTATCTGCTATGGAACAAATAAAATACATAATCGTGAGCAAGTTGGTGAAACTGAAAAGTTCTGGAAGTTTTCGCTCTTTTTATGGAAATATGAACTTTGAAACGACGAAAAATGGAGGAAAACGTTTACAAACGATGAGTCATACTCGATATTTTTGTTAATGGTCAACTTATCTGGGAATTTTTCAGTTGATTCATTGTTAATCTCAAATCATTTCGATGGAAAATTATTAATTATCAAACAATGTGGAAAAAACTGAGGAAATGGGAAAAAGATATCAAATCCAGAAATTTGTGGATTGTTTCGTGTTTATGGCAATTTAAAACACACATTTTATCTGCGATGTAGGAAGCAAAAATGTGATATTATAATGACCAATAAAAATAAAAATTAATTAGTTATTATTAATAATTAATTATCCATTTTTCAATTCATTTAAATTTTCACTCGCTCAACTAACTAATCAAATTTTAACTTATTTTACCACAATGAAAGTGTAACCTCTCACCGTGACGATCAGGAGCAGACTAAGTGCGTACCCATCGTAAATTCATATTTTCAGTATTTTATTTTGTGAATTTCCGAGAATTCAAAAACAATGACTCCTCCAGGAAAAAACATGTACAACTTACTCTCTACTCACCAGTGTAAAAAGGAAAACTCAATTGTAAAAATATAAATTCAATTGCGCTCTACGTCGGGACTCTGGATTCATTCCAGCAACCTGCTCAGCTCCACAGAACAATCCTGAGATTTCTAGATTTTTCGTATTGAAAGCACGACGAAAAGGCCCCCCCACAAAAACCTTGAAATCAAACTTTCCAGAATTTTCTCTACTTCGCGTGACAACGCATTTTCCTCGCATCAATATTGAAATATACCATCACCCTCACTGCAAACTTCCCGCATAAGTTCACTCCCCAAGTAAACGAAAGAAACAGGCGACGAACTTTGTTGCCTAATTAACGATATTTTATTCCCAACTTTCAACTTCAGGATCGACCGTTGTTTTCGTCTCGTTCAGCATTTCCGCGCTGTACGCCCCTCGGGGCCAGTGGCTGTACCTAGGAGGCACTCTCATCGGCTTGTCCAACATCGCCATTCTCCTGCTGCTCTCCAACATCTTCTTGCGCTCATTCTTCGTCTACCAAGCTCAACTGTATCTGGGTCTCGCCCTCATGTGTCTCTTCATCATCTTCGATACTCAGCTGATCGTCGAGAAGTTCCACATGGGCAGCAAGGACTTCATTGGTCACTCACTCGAGCTGTTCATTGACCTCTTCAGGGTATTCCGTTACTTGCTCGAAATTCTGGAAATCAAGGTAGTTAACACATAATTTTAAAACCATTTTTTAGTCATTAAACTCGATTTTTTCATGAATATCTTTGAGTTTGAGGCAGAATTACATTTTCATGAGGAAAAAAAATCTTTACAATTGTTTTGTCTCTGACACGGAGATCAGAATTTTTAAAATGAAATCAATTTTTTCTAAAACTGTTGTAAATAACTCTATTCATTTCTTTAACCGCTAAATTTATAAGAAAAACATCTAGACTTTTTTTTGAGAATTGTCCTTCACATTTAACAATTCAATAATTTGAATTGTTTATTCTTTGAAATTTCAATCATGAAATTTCTCATCGAAATTTTCTCCTGAAAATTCCTCGCCATATCAATCTAAAAAAATGTAAATCAATGTTTTCCAATTTTGTTATTTTCCAGGAGCAGTCGAAGCGCAAACGCAAGCAATAATAAAAGCGTGATAAAATCGAGAGGTGTCACCGACATTCGAGTAAATCCATTATAGAGGTCTTCATCCTTTCTATTATACATATATCTACTTTAATTCATATTTAAAATAATAAACCGCGAAAAATTAAGAGGATACTAGATTTACTACGATAAACAAACTTGTTTATACTTGGTTAACGAGTGACTAATGAATATGTTTTCGATGAATATTCGCGAGCCAGTGAGATTGCCGAGCATTACTCTTCTCTTTATTTTGTAAAGATAAAAATTCCGTAAATTATCCCGTGTCAATTGTTCCGTTTCTTCTCTTTGAATTTACACGTACTGTAATTATTAAATTATGAGGTTTATTATAATACAATATTTTTCAACTTATCAATCAATCTAATAAATTTATCATAAATAATTTATCCTGTGGTTGTTTCAATTCTATGTACTTATTTTATTTCAGGAGTCGAGTATTTTTTTCTCATATTCAATAACGAATTGTCAATTATTTCAAATTATCATCAATGTATACTTCCGATTGCGATCGTTTCTACATTTTTTCCTCGTGTAGACATAACAATTCGTCATTAAATATTATTATAACCTTATTGAAATATCGAAGTGAATGGGAAGTTTAATCCAGGTTAAAGGGGCAGTATATCAATTGAATAAAGAAGTTCGACGTCTTGCGAGTTCGAAGTCTTACATTCGCGCAGAAAAGAGAACAAACTGCAATCACACAAAAGACTATACATTCAGTCCCATTCCATACTCACACACAGGGTAAATAGTCAATTACTTCATTCTATAACAATTTAGCTATTTGTTATTTTTTATTGGCAATAAAATTAATAAACGAAGACCACTGTTTGTCTATATTATGTGTTTCACTTTATTAAAATCTAGTCTTTACACATACATTACACAACTCGTTATGAAAAAAAAAAGAAAAATCATGTGTAATCGATTAGTCCTTCATGTATGAAAAGTGATGGAGTAAATACTAATGTAGATGTAATAACGATAACACATTGAAACTTCGTGTTATCGTTAAAAGAAAATTTACACATTCTGTCATCGTAGATGCGAGCAATTGCCATCATTAATTGGCTGCTCAATACGGGCGCTGGCGATCCCTGTCCCTGTCGCCGCGTCTAAAAAAATACGAAGGAATGTTTATTAATAGTTAATGGGGATGGGGGTGAGTTGTGAATCGATGGGAGTTACTACTGACCCGCCACCTCCACGCATGGGCCCTCCACGTCCACGTCCTCCACTGCCACCTCTGTCACCCCCACGGAATCCTCCACCCCCGCCTCTGCCACCTCGGTCGCCACCACCACGTCCACCACGATCATTCCTGAATCCACCACCACCTCGTCCACCTCTGTCTCCACCACGACCTCCTCGGCCACCTCCGCCGCCACCACCACCACCACCACCTCCTGCACCTTCTGGTTTCGAGCTTTTGCAGAGGTTGCACTCGTCACGCCAGGCGAAGTTTGTGTTTCCGCAGTCGGGATTTGTACATCTGGCGATTGGAAATTAACAAAATGATGAAAAATTAATAGGAATTCATTACATGGCCGACAATTTTTTACTGAAATTTTCGGTAGACTGTGGGAATTTTTGACAAGTGGCAGTTCCACTGAAATTTCAAGCAATTTTATTTAAAAAAATCAATTGGGAGGTTAAATTTCAGTCCGATTATTCTATGGGAGGTAATAGGAATCAAGAAAGTTCAGATAGATAAATTCCTGAATTCTTAATTAATTGAAAATTCAAATAAGGTTCAAAATTCTTGTTTAAAAGTTTGAATTTTATTAATTATTCTTCCTCAAATCGAGCCCAATATCGATTTCCTGAAAATTACTACTAAACTATCCATGAAATTTCAAGTCTATTTCTAACATTCAAAAATGTATTGTGGAAATTTTAATGACTCATTGAGTTTTTTATGAAATGGACGGATTGTTCCTCCACAAAACATATAATTCTTCCTTTTAATGTGGACCCTAGCCTGAGCTCAATTCATAAATTGGTTTCTCAGTTCTGAACACTGAAAATAAAAACATCCTAAACCCTCAATTCCAGTAAAACTGCAAAATCAACGAAAAACTCGTGTGTGTAATCAATCTAAAATTAATTAATTTTAAATAGAGAAAAATGGGACGAACAGGAGAATGAATTGATAAAATTTGAATCGGAGGAAAGAAGAATAACAAATGAAGATGAAGAATAACAAATAAGAGATGTGAATTGCAGAAGAAAGGTTTCAAGGAAAATGAAGAATGTAGTCATGACAGAATCTAATTGATTAGCAATTCGTAACAATATAATGAAGAGCTGTACCTCCAATCGCCTCCGCGACCACCGGAGTCTCTCCTGTCGTCTCCTCCCCCACCGCCGCCGCGATGATGATCGCCCCCATCCCTGTCTCCTCCACCCCCGCGACCTCCAAAACCTCCCCTCCCACGCCCACCACCACCAGGAGCACCGCCTGTGCCACCACCTCGTCCACCCCCGCGTCCTCCCTGCCAGTTGCTCTTGTGCTGAGCCATCTGCACTTTTATCGTGCAACCCTTGAAATCCTTGCCGTCAAACCAAGTGATCGCAGAGCGTGCTGCATCCTGATCGTCGTACGTCACCGTTGCTTCGCCTTTCGGCTTGCCGGTGTTCTTGTCTCTGTACACCCAAATCTTTGGTTTGCCAGTGCGCTTATCGTTCTGGAAGGAAGATGATGCGATTCAGAAAGAAGAATTGGCGACAATTTTTTATTTTTTAAGAAAACATTAACAAAGTTATGATAAAGAATGCAATAAATATGGTAAAAATCACAATATTTTCGTGAAACATTAACTTGAAATATTCTAATCTTTAGTAGAGTTTGTCAGTCAGCTTTGAAGATTTTTTTTAATATCTAAGAATCCAATTGGGATAGATGCAATTTTATGAAAAATTTTTTTTTTCGAAAATGACAAAGTTCTGATAAAGAATGCAGTAAGTTTCGTAAAAAAATGTCAGAATTTTCGTGAAATTCCAACTCTCTTTTTATTTTAACTTAGAATTCAATTTTTTCAAAGGGGATTCTTCCTAAAAATTACATTTTCATGAAATTTAAACTTGAAATATTGTAAATTTTACTGCAGTTATCTATTGGAGGAACGATAATTTTCCATTCGGCTCGCGTAATTATTGTCATGTCACCAATTCCTCACCTTGATGATCCCAATAGCCCCAAAATGCTGACAAATTTCCTCCTCAGAGACCCCTGGATCCATTCCCGAAACGAAAATAGTGTCCTCTTGCACGACCATCCCGTCATTGCCGCCATTCCGGTCACCAAAGCCCCCTGCAACGCGGCCACAATTAAAAATCCCATAACCAGTAATCCTTGAAAAACCTCTCAATCTCTCAACAGCCCTACCAGGATCGACAGTTCATGAAAAAAACTCTACTATTGCCCTAATAACTACAATAATTTTCTCCAAAGCAACGTGAACCCGCGGTTTATCGAAAATAAATAAGCAAACATTTTGTACAGTTATGCACGCACGAGAAAATCTCATGAAAAAAACCTGGAAAATTTAATAGGAAATTCTGTTGCAGAATTTTGCAGCTTTGCATAGAAAATATTTCACAAAATTTCATCTTTCAATACAACTTTCTCCATAAAGACAATTTTATACGGATTCCTCGACATGAATTTTCCTAGTTTTACTTCATTTTTCTTCTTTCATAAAAAAAAAACTTGAAAAATATGACCCGAGTAATTCCTATAGAAGATGTCTGAATAGAATAAGTTGCACAGAAAAATAAAATCCTATAGATTTTTCTATAGAATATTTTCCACTGAACATTTCCATCTGAAGAATAAATTCTTCAATAGAATCCGCCAAAAGCTAATAGAAAGTTCAATCGAAATCCACCAGAATTTTCTAAAAAATTCCCTAGCGTTTTCCACAAAGCTTCTTCGTACGCGTGAAACAGCACATCGACCATGATAAACTCAAAAACATCATTACGATGACAATAAAAAATTTGTTCATCTCCAGCCAAAATCCTCTACCATTGATTTAAATAAATCATCGATCAACACCCATCGTTGTCATTCCAATGGTCATGGCTTGTTCATGACAATATTTTACCACATGCCCTGTATTTAAGTTTCACCGACCCATTCACCGAGTCACTGTTAACTCTTTTACCCACCAACAATTCTCTTACAATAAAATTGTAAAAATTTGTCTTTACCATTAAATATTCGGTTTTAAATCACACATCTGTTACCCTGCCTAGTATTAACATTACATATCCACTTAAATTTGATCACTTTCATATTCCTCGATACTCTCCATAACGTGAATATAAAAATACCAATGATATAACCATGTTGAATTAAAAAAAAAAATACCTCCCGCAGTTAATGTACCGCCAAAAAACACCAAATGAATTTCGACTAAGTATCTCATCGTAATCCAACACAAGGTTGCAGTTGCATATAAAAGGGCTCCATCGTCGTAATAATAAACCATTTGAATAAATAATATACCAAAAATACACCTCTGACGTAATGAGGAACTCTTGCATTGCTCTACATATCGAGCACACCAGTCGCTTCGTAATACGATTTGTTATAAAAATGCGAAACTTTCAGGGTTTCATACTCATTCTAGTTGCTGTTTCGATCCAGCTTGGGTTCAATACTAGAATTAGCCACCACTGATTGACGAATCGATCATTAATAAACGGCATACTTCAACACCGATGCAGTATTTTGTTGACAAATGGACTGTTACACACAAGAGAGTTCCTTCATTTTTTAATGGATCAGATGTTTTGCATTCAAACCCTCTCTCAAGGAATTGCATTCGAATTTTCGATTGTGCGAATTTGGGTGCAATTTGAGATCAAAATGTTCATGGAATTTTTTTATGTACTCATGTTTTCTACGGTGGGCGATTATTGATGCTTCAATTACAGCTTAAATTCTCAATAGACTGAACATTTAGGAAAATATTGAACTTTCACGGCTTGCAATATTTTTTAGTGTCAAATCGACCTGAAAATCGCAATATTCATGTGGGTAAAAAAATTTAATGCTTGTAGGAAATTTTTTTTTATTCATGCAAGTTCCCTGTTCGAAATGTATAATTCAAGTATCTCTTTTCTTTTTCTTGAGCTCCAAATACTCAAATTAAGATAAATCCGCAGACAATAGCAGCCAAAAGTTAGTCCCTTTAGATTTCCAGAAAAAATTCTAAATGACTTAATTTATGGCATTCTCACAAGTATTGAGTTTTTCTATCCTCATGTTGTTGATGAAGACAACAATAATTGTTTGGATCAAATAAGAAATTATTTGTTAATTCATGGTTGACAATTTCGAATTATAAAATAAGAATTACAATTCCTGCAGGCAAGATCTTGATGCAAAGCATAACATTAAAAAAAAAAATAAAGAAACTATTGCGTGTAATGGGTCACTCGAAGTATTCCGAATAATCAATTGTATCCTTAAAATAACACAATCGCGATGTGGCAGCCCTTTCATATAATAAAAGTAACCGAGTATTAATTGATAAAATGTTGAATCTTTAAAAATATTAGATTGAATGCGTGAATAAGCACCAGATCAGTACAGTACGATCTGGTGCATTTACCTTTGTTATAACCACCACGGCCACCGCCACTGCTAAAACACAGAAGCAGATATACCAATGAGACGACTCATGGGGGGACAGACTCGATCAGTTCGATCGTTGATGTGTTTTTTCATATCGTTGATTCAATGCCAACCCCTTCTCATTCCTTTCTCTTGATGGTTACCTACTGTCTAAATGTCTGTCACCATATTTTTTTTTGTTTTTTTTTTTCGATCAAATTAACATTATCTTATACTATGTCAAGTAACAAGTTGCAGTCCGTTGATTTATTGGTGTCAGCATGCAGGTTTACCTTCTGTGATTACAACTAACGATTGTCCAATATAAGAATATCCCAGTGGAACAGTCCCGAAGAGGAGGTATATTTTTCAGGGCTTCATGAGCAAATGTTCGAGTTTGTCGAACCTGTTGATATGACGAAATACTAGAAATAATTCTGCCTATGACGCGGGATAAAAGGAGACTTCATTAGTTTCCGAAAATTTTGTTGGATTGCAAACAAATTATTCTATTTCGTCAAGAACTTAAGGAGTTTTCAACATTGAAATAAGTGTCTATTTTATTCCATTCAGGTTTTCAGTTTTATAGTAGTTATTTTCAGTCGATGATCAATTGAACAACTAATTTTCTACCAAGAAACCGTAATTTTACATGTGTGAGCAAATTCAACTCAAGTTTATTGAAATTGTAGAGAAAAATGTGACGTGAAAAGAATATTCACCAAAAGAATTGTTCAGTAATTTCCAATAATGTCAATCATTGAAAATTTATGCAATTTTATGAGAATTTTACTAAAACCTCTAGTAAATGCAATAACTAGAAAAAAATTACAACATTTTTATAAAATTTGTATTCAAAATATTGAAATTTGAAGTGGATTTACGGCATTTTTCATAACAAAAAAAAATAGAAAATTGGAAAAGTGAATAAATGAATGAATGATTGAATAAAATGGCATAAAAAAATTTATTTCAGTAAACAGCAGTGTCATTTTTCAAATTTTCCTCCCCACGCATTCATGTACTCAGGGACTGTACCACCGAGATATCCTTCCACTCCAATAAACCAGATTCTAATAGTCTCAATGAAACCACAAAACAAGTGGAGCCGAAAACGCATTATTTTCCATTACCAGTAAAAATTCTCCACGAGGTATAAACAGAGGGTAGAGTCCACAGCACATATTTTATACTGTTAATTTCTAGTAGAAAGTGTATCAACGAGCCTGAGCTGGATACCAAGCACCGAGTGGCGATACAAAATCGTCAATGGTCACACGATCTTTTCAGCTGTTTTTATCATTCGTTACGATATCTCTGCACAAATGATAGTAGTCATTGTGGCAGATTATGATGGTGCATTCAAGTGATGGATAGGGTAAGCAGACCAATAGATCAACACCGACCAGAAGATAGACGGTTTCACCTTATTCAGAATTTTTAAATGAATATAGTAAAACAGGAATTGAACTGCTATAATTGACGATGAATATTTCTCTTTATCGATTGACATTTTGAGTGGATCTATCCTCTGATCCAGTCGTCTATCTATTGAGTGTTTGCGTTGCATCTTCTTTTTTGTCATTTTAGCATCTATTTCTTCGCTGTTCGCTCTTCAAATAATTTTTTGTCACTGCTTTTGACATGAAAAGTCTTTTCGTTTACTTGTAAACGAAAAAAGCCACAGTTCCCCACTCGTTGAATGTGAGATCACTGACAAAAACTATAGTTCGACACATGTGAGACGGGAAGTTGAAAAATCTGTCACACTTGTACTGAAATATACTATGTTAGGTATAGAAACCTAACATTGTATAACAACCTAGGTATAGTATAGTAACCTAACATATCGTTGGCTCATTTACGCAACTTACTAACTTCCTGATTTATATCGGGTAGTTATTGTAAGGCCCCGAAAATCGAAACAGAAAATGTCATGATGTCTTCACGTTTCATGACCTTCAGAACTTTTCTATTAAGTTTTTAGGGTGATTTCTCTGGGACGAACGGTCCGATTTAATTTTCTTTCACGCCATCCATGCGTTTCCATGTCACTTAGAGCTGATTACATTCCGAAAAACATTGTCTCAACCGTTTTCTCGATTTTGCAATAAAACTGATGAAAAAAAGTTGACAAAATTAGTTTTTTTAACACAAATTCGATTATTTCTCCTGAAGAAACGATGGAATTCAATTGTTCTCGTCACAATCGATGCGGTGTTGTATGACTACGACTGGAGTGAAATTCCAGCTGAATCCCCTTGGTTGTATAGTTATTCGAATAAGAATTTTTCGGAATTTTGCAACTTTGTCTTCTGATAAATGAGCAAGAAAAGGAATTAATCGGGGAGTTGTTGGTTCGACTTATAATAATTCCCATCCACCCTACCAGTCCCCCCCACGACCCCAGACTTTCAATTTTTGGTACCTCGACGAACCGCAATTCCTCTTAACCGTCTATCTATTGGTCTGCTTACCCCAAATGGGAAAAATTGATTAAAATTGGTAACAGGATTCTCCACACCTGAATCCCTCTAGCCATGATACTCAAGGTTCTACCGAACCTTATCTGTTAAATCACCACCAAGAGTTGAATTATCACAATTACCTCGGTGATTCCCGATCGTGTCATTAACTTGAACCACATTTTTTACGTCATTTGTCGTATACAACCTGTTATCATTACCTTTTTCATTATAAACCAGTTATACCTGTGCGATAAACAAAAACCTGTAGGCACACTTCAAACACATTAACGCCGAAATGGCAGGTGAACCAGAATTGTTTTTTTTCTTTGCATGATTCATGAATTCAAATGTTTGAACATTTGTTATCAAGTTTAGATAATATACAGGACACCTACTTGATGATCACCGAAGATGTTTAGTCTCCAGAGAGAAGTGCTGTTGCATTTCATCTCTTTTTTTAAAATGAATTTTCGACATTCGACGTGAGAAGGAATAGTTGGGGCTAAAAATGGAAAACTTACTTATAACTACCGCCACCGCTCGAGCGGTCGTAACCCCCACGGTCGCTGTAACGCCCACCACCACCGCCACCACCACCTCCGCTTTGTCCTGGGAACATTATTATTATTATGAATTTTTCAAGTTTTGTTAAATGTGTGGTACTGTGCTTTATTAAAATTATGAGAAACTTTTTCGGTCAAAAATCTATTCTCATAAATGCTAGACTTGGGAATATTTCATGATTAACTTGGCTTGCGAAATTATAAAATTATAATAATGAATTATTATTTTCTTGTGTTTTTCAAGTTATTAAAATATCTTTGGGCCATGTCTTGTTCTTTTTTTTTAGTCGCGAAGAAATTGTTATTCATGTGATTGTAGAAAAAGATTCATTTTTTCTCCGAATCAAGATACAATACCAAAGAATATTAATTCGATTTTAATGAATAGAAAGAAGAAATGAATACAGAGTTTTTTTTGGATATGAATAAAATTAAGAACCCTTGATTGCAAATATTTTTCTTGTTTTCTTTCTCATTTCGTTTCTTATTTTTATTTTTTATTGGCAATCAGATATGCAATTTATCAATTATCTTTCCTCTTCCTTAAATAAATGAGTGAGTTTGTCTTAGGTTATTCTAAAACCAGAACTCATTGAACATCACCTGTACGAATGGAGTTAAAAAATTGCAGTTTCATGTATCAAAAATAAGAGAATAACGGTGTTAATCAGCTAATTTTTGAAAAATTCAAGAGTCGAGGTCAATCAGGAGCTTCAATCATGCAATCTTTCAAAGTTTTTACATTGCATCTTCATCCTTTATATTACGAAAAAAATGTGTACAATTTTTTTTGGCATTCCCAGGTCCAAATAAATAAAAAGTTTGACTGTTTTTTCCAGAGAAAACAGTGTTTTAAGGATATAAAGAAACCAAAGATAATTTATATTCCAATGAAATATCACACAACTAACAAGTGATTCACTCAATTAATTAACTGATTCATGAGATGTACGAATTCATTCGGAAGTGATAATTATGCGTGATAATTATTCATAAACAAGAGAAATGAGATGTTTTCGGTTGTAATTACCTCCGTAACTTCCTCCAGAGCTGCCACGGTTATATCCACCCCCTGAATTACCTCCGTAATTGCTTCCCCCGTAATTATTGCCACCAGTACTGCCACCACCGCCTCCACTGCTCTGATTACCAGAGGTAGCTCCGTAGCTTCCCTGGGTGTAGCCACCCTGTCCCTGGGTCTGGTTGTAATCCTGAGCGGTGGAGGTACTGTAACTGTTGTAGTTACCGTAGCTACCACCGGTCGGGGGAGGCTGGCTGTACTGATTGTAGCTGCCACCGCCCGATGTTGGTGGAGGATACGATGTATCTTGTCCACCGCTCGGTGGGGGCTGGCTGTATTGGCTGTAGCCTTGCTGCTGATAACTTGAATATTCTGGAAAAGTCAACGGGGAAATTGCCCTTTATGACTTTTCTGGTAATTTTTTTTATCGTGATTAGCCCGATGTACATGACGATGAAACTAACGGAATTGTCGGCCCCAAAATATTCAGGGGATATTCAGGGGATTGTTGAGGGTTTAAGGGTCAAATCAGTAGCGAAGTAGTAAAACGGTACAAGTCAATTTTGACTATTGACCAGTTTTCAATGAATATCTCGGAATCTAAGGGAGATAGCAAAATTTTTGTTACCACCTTTTTTGTAGAGCCGATTGAGAGCTGCAACAAATGTAGTTACGAAAATTTCGATATCTCCCTTAGATTCGGAAATATTCCTCAAAAACACAACTGGAAGATAAGTCGAGTTGAACAATTTTACTATTTCGCTACTGAAATGATCTTATCAGCAAACTTTTTTCAATTGCGAAGGAGTTCACATGTGACTTAATATTTGCAGACCTCTAGATTCGCCGAAGTCGAATGCTCCGTTTTTTTTTTCATGGAGAAGGCAATTGTTCTTTGTGATGAGCTCCAATTAAACTCAATTGATAAATTTTTAGGGCTTTTTTTCGTGGATTTTGAGATGACCAAAAATTCATACTGTCTAATTTGAAGATATTGACAAATAAAAACTTCATTCGAAGAAATAACCAAAAAGTGACACAATTTTACGTTTCGGTTAATTTTTTTTTCCTATGGAAATTACATTTGTTTTCCTTTGTGATGAGCCTCAATTAATCTCAATTGAAGAATCTGTTCCTGAATAATGAGCATTGAAAAAAATCAAAAGCCTTCATTTCGTTTCACCCTCATTTTTCTGAATAACTTATTCTTTTTGGAATTTTCTTGACCTCAATTCTTGAACAGGAATTTGTTAGTGTTCTTTTCTTGAATTTTTTGTGCCGACAAAAAATTCATGTTGTCGAATTTCAGGATGTTGATTTGAAAAAAAGGCTTAAAACCTTCTCGCGAATCAATAATAAAAAAAGTGAATCATGAACCCCAAGAATTGAATAACCAACTTGATAAGATTCAATCGCTAGCTAATTTCACATTCCCCTTAATTTTTTTCTCATGGAAAATACAATTGTTTCCCTCTGTGATGAGCCTCAATTAATCTCAATTGAAGAATCTGTTCCTGAACAATGAGCATTGGAAAAATCAAAAGCCTTCATTTCCTTTCACCCTCATTTTTCCGAATAGCTTATTCTTTTTGGAATTTTCTTGACCTCAATTCTTGAACAGGAATTTGTTAGTGTTCTTTTCTTGGATTTTTTGTGCCGACAAAAAATTCATGTTGTCGAATTTCAGAATATTGATGTGAAAAAAAAGGCTTAAAACCTTCTCGCGAATCAATAATAAAAAAAGTGAATCATGAACCCCAAGAATTGAATAACCGACTTGATAAGACTCAATCGCCAGCCAATTTCACGTTCCCGTTAATTTTGAGTGGATCATAGGAGCCATCCATGTGTAAAAACAATTGGGAAAAAATGGAGGAGCAAAAATTATCGATCGGTTCATCAGATAGGACGCTAGGCAATAGTTCGAATGAGGTCATCGATGAGGCGATTAATTCCCCGATTTTGGAATGGGCTTGAGCCCTTCCTCGCCACGGGAACGTATGAAATTTCCCAGAGAAGACATTCGCATGATTTTCCGGGGTGGACCGGGTGCGTGGAATCGGAACCCGAGACACCCAAGCGTCACGCGAGACTTCCGTGTTTGTTGATGTTTCTCGTCGGTGTTCCGGGCACGTGGACACACCGGACAAAATTTCTCCGAATGAATTATTAGCGGGGAGAGACGGTGGAGTGAAATATTTGCGGGTACTTACGATTGTCCGTCATGGTGTCGACGTAGTTGAAGAAAGCACGACGTCAAGACCCACGTAATGGCGGGAACCAGTGGGGTCTGAGGGAGCGACGTAGTGGACGCCGGGGGAGAAGCAACGTTTAAGCGCAGAACGATGAGCGCATAACGGATGTCGGGTATTTTGACGCCGTTGGTACTTCCCGTTTGGTTCAAATGAAAATCTATCGCGTTGAACACATTGATTAAAGGAGCTCTACCCTTACGGTAAATTCAAAGATTATTGAAAACTGCAAAAACTCGATTAGATTCGGAATTCTAACTTTTTTCTCAATTTAATTATCGTTTTGGTTTTTCAAAGAAGAAATGTTTAAAAATCAGGATTTAACCCAGTGTCTCATGTGAAACAATGAAAAATATCGAGACAATATAATCCTTCACAATCAGCCGCAATTTCTTTATTTTAGAAATTTAAAAAATTTAATGTAACAGCCCAATAAATAAATAAGGGAAAATCAAATAACAATTAGCCATTTTATAATTAAACTATTTTTATTCATGTCTGCATTATAAATACTACTCGTTTAAATCGATAACATTATGACGATTCCTCAATTTTCTTACATTCACTTTCAAATAACATTGCCAACCGCTGTATATTTAATTTATTTACATGAGTGTGCAGAATCTTTGGAATAGAGCAGAATCCGCATTATTAATTATTTCGTCTAAACCCATAAACTCAGGACATTCATATATTCAAGTTTCCCCCGCATTATCTTGCAAAATTATTCGTCACCAAGTGATCATTCTGAATGGCTGGTAAAAACAATTCGTAGAAACCCAGAGGCAATATTCACCATTCATCGTTAAATTCACGTCTCAGATGTCACTGACCAATTAGAACTCCAAAATTTTCCAAAACGACCCTTTACACAGGTCATTTTTAGAAGTTTACGAATGAAAAAAAAACGAAGAATATCGTGACAACATATTTCTTCAAAATGAGCTGCAATTTCTTCATTTTAGAAATAAAAAAATATGTCTTCGACGTTTCTAATTGTTTTCTCTTTTCCTACCTCAAATTCTTCTCAACGGAAAAAATTTCATGTAAATCCCAATTGGCCGCTAGATATACAGAAATTCAGATTCTCCATGAATCCATCAACCAGGTGGAATAATAAATTACAAGGGGAAAAAATAAGGCAGTTAAAACATAGTTAGTCCATTAACGGCACGTTGATTCCAGTGATCACGATTTGATGTAAAAATTATGGATCACGAGTTGGAATGCTGAGAGGGTGTCAAACCACCAGGATGCTCAGGACTGTGTTTCTGTTTTTTTCGTTTCTTCTCCTTCTTCCTCTTCTTCCTCGCCTCCTTCTCCTCGTCGTGTCTCTTCTGCTTCTTGTGTTTCTTCTCGTGTGTATCAGCACCACTTATGTCAGTGGCCGCTATCTCTTGGCCAGCAGGCACTTCACCAGGTTTGTGTTTGTGTTTCTTGTGTTTGTTCTTGTGCTTCCTCTGAGGCGCTTGGTTAACGTATCGATACTGCTCAGGTAACTGTACATGAACGAGATTAATGAGTGGAGTGGAGGGGGGAAGATGGCTCTTGAGCTGTTTAAGCGGTGATTTTGGTTACTCACAGGTCCAGGGTGAAGACGAAAGCCTGATAATTGAACACTTGTGAGGGGGAGTAGCTCCTTACCCACTATTGGTGGTTTCTCAATTACAGAACGCAGTGAACTACGAACATGGATGGAATATCATTAGCTATTGAGAATTTGGCTCATTCCGTGGGTTAATTATGGAATTTTTTTGAATAAATTGAAGGAATAAACTGGGAATAAGTTAATAATTTCATTGTATTGACGGTTAGAAATTTTCGGCTGAAATTTCTGGTAGAGTTCTTGGAAATTTTTATCAGATAAGTTTCACTGACATTTCAGGGAATTTTGTCATTGAAAATTCACAATTTCATTCTCAAAAAATCAATGGGAACTGTAAATTTCAGGTCAATTATTGGGTGAAAGTTAATAGAAATCAGGAAAATTCATTGATTGATAATTAGTAATTGATTGGTAATTGATAACTTGATGCTCAGTATTCGTGTTTTGCTCAAAAATTTGACTTAACTATCGCCTTGAAATTAAATTCAATGTCTCTCGCTAGAAAATTACTAGTAAATTGTCCGTGAAGTAAATTGGACATTTTTTTCAGTTGTGAATTTATCTTGAAACCAAAGTGTCTATTTTGCACGTGATAAAATTCTCAAGAAAAAATGCCTTGAAATTCTTTTCTAATAAATAAGATAATTGGGTCATTTTCACACATTATCAAAACACTCTGCAGTGAATTAAAAAATTGGCATTATCATTAATTGTAAATTTATCTCGAAAGCGGTTCGCCCCAAGAAGAAAAATCAAGAAGCCATTTTTGTATCTTCAGAATATACTACAGATTATCAATTTCAGACTACAGAATTATTTGATCCTTTACTAAAATTACGACAAGAAACGTCAAGAAAAACGTCTTTGATCCTGAAAAAATCCTTTGAATAGTTCGATAATCTTACCACATCGCCAAATAATTCTACAATTTAGTGAATACAACAAATTAAAGATTTTTTATTAATCCATTCATTCTTGAGAAATAATAATTTCCGAAGATCCTAGGAAACGTCCCTTTAAACTGCTTCAAAGGATGATGAATTCTCTCGAAAATCAAACCCTCCCCTCGCCCCCTCCAAAAAAAAAATGCTCATCACCTATTATCCTGATCTCCAGGAGTGTCAATGATCCCAGGTAGATTCGGTAGAAACGAGGACAGCTGCTCCTTGAGTTTCTTCCCACTGAACTTGCTGTAGGAGTGTTCAAGGCCATAATAGGCCATCAAATTGGTGGCTCCAGTCAAATCGCTTTCCCCTGCAAGCAAAATCCATGCACTAAACCTCCTCGGCAAACCCTCGCCCTGAAACCCTCAAAAACCCTTACCAGGCGGTTCCTTCATCAAATAGAAGGGTCCACTGTGGACGATTGACGGATTCTTTCCCAGTGAAATGGTGGTTTTTAATGTTCCCGTTGAGTCCTGTCGTGATACCACCGGTGACCGTGCACCCCTCGGCGATGACTTTGGCGAGTACTGCTCGACTTTACCACGAAACTGATCGCCCATCATCATCCTCCAGCTGTTTTACTTCATCCCACCGTGCCACAAAATAATAAACCAACCCAAAAGAGTCCCCAAGTCCCCCCCCCGAGCCCCCAAAACCCCCTGGGCACCGCGAAAACCCCCCAAACAGACAACCTCCTCCCCAGGAGTGTCCCCCAAGCACAGATGCACTACGTGCAGGCCAAAACCGACCTCACGTCTCTCTACTATCTCCCCACATACCTAAAACCCATCCTAAAACCCAAGTCCACTCAACTCACCAGACCCAAACCGTCAACAATCCCTCAATCTACAGATTCAGTGACTCGTCTCCACGAACATTGCGTAAACATAAAATATTACACACGATAAACATGGTGACTCGGTTGGGACTAAATCTGTTCCGTTCAGTCCGATGATTAACAGAACTCTGAGATGAAAAAACCCGTCAGTGTTCCAAAGGTTCAGCCACTTCCGGTTCCCAAATCCCCCACAAGTCGCGCATTCCGGGAATTCCGGGGCTGCGCCATCTGCTGTCGCCCATGAAAACGGGGCGAGTGGTCCGTTCTCCTTGATTCCCCCCAGTTCTCGCCCGACATTCCACCAATCGGGGCTCTCTCTCGGCCGTCTCGACCCCCTCCAATCGACGAGAATAAATAAAAGAAAAGAAAAAACGGAAAAGCACCGTTGAGGAGGCAGCCAAGAGGAGAGTGTGGCTCGTATATCTCAGAGGTTCACCTCGACCGTTTTGAGCTGCGGGAGCCGTGTGAATATCTGCCATATTGTTTCACCGGAGTGTTTGTTTTGGGGTAAAACCCGCAGTTCAGCGTTCTCTCCCATCGATTCGACTGAGCCCACTCCCCGAACAATTAGTCAATTTTTAGTTGCAATTTAGTAACGAGGCGTCTGTGAATTCCTCGTGTGTGAGAGCTCTCCTTTTGTCTCTGGATAGAAAAAAAACGGATAGAGAGAGGAAGGGGACGTAGACAGCGCCTTGTGAATTTTAGTCGTTTCGTGGTAATCGTGAAGACGGTTTAGACATGGCCTGCGCCACCCTCAAGAGATCCCTCGAGTTTGATCCTGTTCACAGCCATGGGAGGCCCAGCAAACGGAGAAGATGCGTTCCAATGTGCGTATCACCTGGCACATCGAGTCAATCCACAAGCAAACAACAGAATCCATCGCCATTCGGTGAAGTTGCTACTAAATTGACGCCTGGTAATTGTTATCGGCTACGGCCATGTTTCTTTTCTTTTTCTTTCTCGCCTTTTTTTTCGGTGGGGCTTTTTCTTTGGCGCGGTGATTAGGGGGAGGGGGGAGGCTACGGAGGATTTAAAACTCGTATTTAGGGCGTCACTGGCCGAGGGGGCACGGCGTCCCTCGGATGGGAGTGGGGGAGGGGTCGATTTACACACGCGTAAATCATATGGTAATGTCGTAACGGACGGGGAACTTTCGGTCGTTTTTTGGAGTTTGGGAGGGGAATTGTGGGAATTTTGGATTTTATGGGGTTGTGGG